TTTTTATTTCAATTGAGGTTAAATATTAAAAAATATTAATCCGGCAAATCTTATACTCATTAAATGAAGATATACTCATTAAATTGAGAATTAAAGGGGGGCAGTATTCAATCAAGATTTTCATAAAACCAATTTTCAAGTGAGAAAATAGGTCCACAACTGTAAATGTACTTATATATTGATTAAACATATTTTATTTTTATTTAAATTATTTTTAAAAAAAATATTTTTTTATTTTTTTTGCAAAGAAAAAAGTTTTTTATTTAATTGTTACTAAAAATAAATATTTTTTTCTATTTAAAGTTATAACCCCCCTTTCCTCTCCCTCCCACTCTCCCACACATTCCTTTCTTTATTTTCTTCTGCAACAAAAATCAAAAATTATTTGTTTTTACAATAACCAAAAAGGGAAAATTAACTAAAATATAATTTAATAATAACATTCTTTTACGTCCATTTAAAATAAAAATATTTATTTTTATATTTATTAAATTAAATAAATATTTTTTGCAGAAAATCTTTGACGAAATTTATTTAATTAGATTTTTTCTAAGATTTAAATATAAATATTAATTTATTTATTTAGCGATTATTTTATATTAAAAAAAATTATTTTAAAGAAAGTAGCCTTTTAATAAAAAATTATTGGAAATAATTTTTTTATTTTCCTTTTCCTTAATTAATTTCAAAATCTATTACTGAGCATTTGCAGAATTTTTAAAAAATAATATATACTTATTAATTCGTCGAATTCCTTTTTCAAAACACAAACAATTACTATATTTTTATTCGTTATAATAATAATTCTTTTAATTTATTTTGTATTTGTTGATTATTTAAAACTTAGTAAGTCTAAAAGCTTCGGAAATACTTTAAATAAACCTATAAAAATTAAAAGAATTTTTATTTTTATATTAGTTACTCCAAAATTACATACTTTATCTATTTTTAAAATGATTTTTGATAATAAATTTATATAAAATTCAAAAACAAAAATTTTAAAATAATTGTTAGCTAATTAATTAAATATACATTTTCTAGTCTTGTTTTATCATAATTTCTAAATTTAAATCCCCAAACAGTCACGCGCCTAAATAATTCCTCCCTTTTTTATTGTCCCACATTTTTACTTTTGGTCACATTTCTTATAAAAAAATTTAATATATTTTTTACATTGATGCCGTCATAGATTTTGTTTGTCTTTAAAAGTATTTGTTAAATTATGACATTTAAAATATTAAAATAATCTTTCTTTCATTAATTTTAAATTTCCCACTAAGACACAAAATATGCAATAAATATATTCTTTGCAAGAATTTAATAAATAAAACGTTTTTTTTAATTTTAAAATTTATTTTTTAAGATTAAAAAATTTTTTTAAATATTTTTTACTATATATTTACACTAAAAGAGAAAAAGGATTTTTGTTTTAAAGTGAAAGGGAATTTATAAAAAATTTTATTATCATTTATTCTTTTTATTCAAATTTTCAAAAATATTTTTCTTTCTCATTTTGACCCTTTTTATTGTCTTCAAAATACTTCTACAAATTTTATAAAAAATTAAATTTTATTTAATTCACTTCCGTTATCCTTCTATTTAATAATAAAATGTTAATTTTTGCGTGTTTCTTTCGACTTCCTCCTTTTTTTTGCACCAAGGCGGGGGTGGCGCGAATGAAAATCTAAACAACAAAAAATTTGAAAAAAATAATTTTTTCTTTAAGAAATGGTTGCTTATTTAATTTTTTATTAAAACAAATAAAATATATTTAAATTTTTTGTTAAAGTGTAGATTAATTGAAAATGAGCACGCAATTTTAAAATTTTAGAATTTAAAAGAAAATTATTAAATAATTCGCAATATTCATTTTCAATTAAATATTTTTTTAAATATTCGCCAAATATATTTCTTTGTCACACCGGTTATTAAATTTTCTTAAAGCAAAGCTAATAATAATAAAATAAATTTTAAAAATACCAAAAACAAGCTCATCAAATCTCTTGCATGGGATTTAACCGTTTTATTTTAAATTATTTAATTGTAAGGAACGGTTCATAATCTTTTTAGTTTGAAATAAAAACTAAAATATTTTCAAAGAATTTTCGAGGACTACATACATTAAGGTTGGCGGATTATCAAGATTGGTTAAGGCGGGATATCAGAAAAAAGGCCGGATATCAGAAATTTTCGGTTCGGATACCGGATCCGGATATCCGAAGATTTCCAACTATCCGCCAACCTTAATGTTTATCTCATTCTATTTATTTTTTTATTTTTTATTTATTTAAATAAAAATAATTTTTGTCGTAAGCATTTTAAAAAAATAATATGCAATATCCTGTTTGTTTTTGTCCTTATTTTTTTATTAAAAACTCGTGGTTAGTTGCGCATTTAAATATTTACATATTTTACCTAAATTCTGAAAGCGTTGGTGTGTTTGTTTGTGTGTGTACTTAAATAATTATCTACCTATTTTTTGAATATTTTTTTTTAAATAATTTTCTTCTTTTATTTTGCTAAAAATAAAAAAAATAAATAAAAGAAACAATTAAAATCTAAAAAAGGCCATTTTTTGCTAAGAAATCCTTTTTTAAATAAAAAAATAATAAAATAGCAATGACCTAACAAATACTTTTTAAATACGTAGACACTTATTCTCTCACAAAAATATAAAAATAAAAATTATTTCTTAAATTTGTTTCACATTTTTATTCAAAAAATTTCTGAGAAATTAACCAATTTTATTTTAAAATTCTCTCAGAATCTTAATAAAAAATTTTTTCATATAAAGTCATTAAATTTAAAGAGTTATTACTGTTAGTCTAGACACGTAAACTGTTTAAGTGTACTGTTTCTGAATTTTTATTTATTTCAGAATTTAGTTAGGTAATTATTAAATTTATTTCCAAAAATTTTAAATATAGTTGGAATTACGTGTTTACTCGATTAATTCACCAGGGGAATTATTTTTTCAGCCCATTCGTGACATGGGGATTTATTCAAGGGGGGAGGGATTATTCGAGTTTTGAAATTTGAACGTGTAGTAGGGTATTTGGGGGAGGGGATTATTGTTTCAACTCATCCGTAGCTGGGGGAATTAATCGAGTAAATACGGTAAATTAATTAATTTAATTATTAATTTCCAGAAATTTAAGTAATATTTACGATAATATTTTTATTTTTATAGCATCTAGTAATCCTTTTTTAAATTAAATTTAAAAAATAATTTGTTAATTTATTTAAATATTTAAACAAACAAAACGTCACCTTTTTCCCAAAAAAGTTAACAATTTTTTGTTTAGCTAAAAGGTTTATTTAAACAATTTTTTCGAGAGTTAAAATTTAACTGTCTATTTAATTCACTTCCTTTTTTTACCTTTAAGTGGGAAAATTTATTTTTTAAAAGGAGTTTTTTAAAAGAATTTTTATTTGTTAAAATATTTATTTTATTTAATAGAAATTTTAGTTTATATTAAATTTTAAAGGTTACCTATATTTTTTAAAAAAATCATAATTTTATTTAAAAAAATTATTTTTATTAAACAATAAAAAAAAACAATTTCCGTTGACCTCATATATTTTCTTCTTTTTTTCATTTACTCTTTGAACATATATAAATAATTACAATTATAATTTCCGTTTTAGAACCTTTCATTCCTTTTTTGTTTTTATTTGTTGACAGCTTTTTGATGAGAATTAGTAATATTTAGTAGTTCTTCTCCTCTTTTATTTGTTTTTCTGCAAAATTTTATTTAAAATTAAAAAATATAAATAATCGCGCAACCTTTTTTCCTCTCACATTTTCCCGCCGGAAACTGCTTGAAGGCAAAAAAGTAAAGGTTTTTTGCTTGATTTGTCTTCTCTGAATTATTTTTTTATATTTTTTTGTTGTTTGTGCCCTCCTTTTCTTTTAAATAAAATTAATATAAATGTGTTAAATAAATAAATATATTTTGTATTTTACGTAATTTCAATTATTAAAGGAAAGCCTTACTTGACAGGACACCAACATTTCTACCTATTTATTATTCATTTCATTTTATTCATATTTATTAGCACAAAGCTTTTATTTGATTTTTAATTTCCAAAAAAGAATGCCTGAACCGGATATATTAGTTATAATATTTTAGTCAGTGTTCCCCCTTCAAATTTCGTTCATTTTAAATTTCCCATAATAAACACCTAAATGTCATTGAGTTTATCAAACGGTATAAAGTATACACTTTATTTTTCAAAAAATAATTTACATATTTATTAAATTAAAAAGGTTAACTAAAATATATTTAAATTTATTTTTAATTTTTAGATAATACCTAATAATTCTTTAATATTAACCTCCTCCTCTTCTTTACTAAGTTTTTAAAAAATGTCTACAGAACAACAAAATACTATTAATAATACAAACTTAACTAAGAATCTAAAAATAATTAAAAACAAAAATAGAATATTACATAAATATTTAAATACTAATTCTACGTCTTTTTATGGAAATTTATTTATTTTATTAATTAGTTTATTATTTTTAACTAAAATGGTTAAATCAACAACAGAAATTAATAATTCAAAAAATTCTGTTGAATCCGATGATGTTTCTTCTGATACTTGTGATATTCACGCTAATGATTCTTTACACGGTAATTCCTAAACTGATTAGAAATTCCACATTTCTTTTTTAATAAATATAATACAGTTGAATCTCTCTTAACATATCCACACACAAAACACTTTCCTCTTCCCATGTCTGCTCAATTCGAAAACAACACTCCAAAGGGTGTGTTTTAGCCTGATTTCTCCCTCCTCTCCTACAACATTTCCCTTCGTATGTAATCTAAGTTAGGTTCCGAGAAGTCTGAGAGATATCTTTCAAAAACCTCGTTTTATTCTCATAAGCCCGACGGCCTATTTTACATCACTAAATAGCGTCAAAATTACCGAATTTCCCATAAATATTTTTAAAACTTTTCCATAAATAAATAATTTACGTATTTTTAGCATTAATGGATCGAATATGTGAATTATGTCATGATATGTATAGCCACCAACAACCAAATATGAGAGCTGATTGCAGGTATATATTTAAATTAAAATTAATTTTAATTTAAATTTTTCCTTTATAGATCTGATTGTTTTAGAAATACCAATTTTAAACGATGCCTTCGATTGTTTAAACCAACAGGAAGAAGTTCTGCTCAAAGGCACAGAATGCGTTTCTTAGAAGAATCATTACATTCCTTTTTAATTGCTTGAAATTATTATGAAAATATTTTATTTTTAATTTTTACTAAAAAAATATGATCTCATTTCTATTCATATTTTTATTTTCTCACCTCTTTAATGTTAAAAATAATTTTTACAAAATTTTATATATTCATATCAATAAATATTGTTAGAATTTTATTTTTTGTTTGAGTAACCACAAAGGTTTGTTTGGATAGGACATTGTGTAATGTTCAATTTACAAAGAATTCGTATATAGGTAAATATAATTTTTTGACAAAATTAAAATTTAAATCGAAAATCTAATTTTAACTCAAATTTCCTTCAAAATGCTTGCTAAAAATTAATTTTTAGCAATTAACGTGTTTATAATTTTATTGAATAAAACACACAATAAAACAATTTTGAAGACAAAATATCATACATTTTGTTGAAATATAAGAAAACAAACAAAACAATTATTTTTAAAATAATTTTCAATTAATTCGATTTAAAATAAACAACAAACATTTTTAAATGCCTTAGAAGATTTCATAACTCCCCGATTCCCTATTTCAGATTTTTTTCACATGTCCATGTCACACAAACAATTTTTTTTATTTTTGTCTAAAAATATATTTATTTTAAGTGCATTTTTAATAGATAAAAAAGTAAAGCCGGCAAATTAAAAATAATTTCATTGAAATTATAAGGGCAAATTGACGTTAATGATTTTTAATGTTTAAAGCAAAGGGGAAAACGCCGACATTTATAAAAAATAAATTTTTATATGGATTTATTTATTTATTATTTTCTATCAAATGCCTTTACAAGTCGTCTATTTATTTTATTACACTTAGCTGCAAGATTCTATTTATCCATTTAAAAAATAAATTTAACTTTAGTTAGTTTCCCGTAATTTTTTTTAATTTTATCAAAAACCCCTAGAAAATTAGAAATCCATAAAAAAAGATTGGAAGAATCCTCCGAATAATTTTATTTTTTTGAATTTTGATAATTTTATTTTTAAAAAATATTTTTTAGTAAATAAAAATGAAATTTTTAACAAATCTGATATTTTTTAAAATTTATTTTTTAATTATTTTATTTTTAAATTTTTGTCAATCAAAAAGAAATATTTTTGTAGAATTTTTTAATAAAACGGGAAAATCAAAAAATGTTCAAATAGAAATTGAAAATAATCCTTTTGGTAAAGGGGCCTATGCTTGGGTAAAATTAAATTAATTATTTTTATTTTAAATTTAAAATAAAATAAAGGTATATTTTGGAAGAATAATAAATACTCAAATAATTTTAAATAATTATGGAAAAAGAATTTCTGAAATAGTAGTTAAAATAAATAAAAATCAAAAAGAGGATGAATTGGAAATATCTAATGAAATAAAAATTTTAGAAGAATTTAATAAATTACCCATTTATGAACGAGAAGGGATTATTGAACTTTATTTACAGTAAATTTAAATTTTTAAAATATTTTTAAATAAAATTAAATAATTTAATTAAAAAGTGGACAAACAATAAATTCAGAAGAGGATCAAAAAATAATATCACAAAAGAAAGAGAATAAAAATAAAATTTTATATAAAAAAGTTTTAATTTTGGAATATGGAGGGGTAGATTTACGTAGAAAAATTGATCAAATTAGAGAAAATTTTTATGAGGAAGAAATTTGGTTTTTAATTCAAAAAACACTTTTAGCTGTGAAAGATATGCACAGATGTTTGTTTTTTTGTCTGTTTAACTTTTTATTTTTTAAGTAATTATGCATCTTGATTTAAAACCAGATAATATGGTATACACTTCGAATGATTTAATTAAAATAATTGATTTTGGTTCTGGACAATTTATTCAAAATGAGGGTGTTGAAAACGATAATAATAAATTAGCTAATTATTGTAAATTACTTACAATTCAATATACAACCCAAGTATATAGAGGTCCAGAAAATAATATTGTCTGTGATGGAGAAGAAAGTGGTGAAGCTAAAGATAGAACTGGAGAAAATAAAGTAAAATTTTATTTCTTTTATTTACAGAAAATGATAACATAAAAGTAAATTTTAATCGAGGAGATTGTATTTACTACTAATGAGTATTTTTGGAGAAACCAAAAAATAGGGCCAAACCTATAAAGTAGAGTAAGACGAGTACCGAGTAATTGGGAAAAAACCGAGCTCGAGTAATCCGAGTTTGAAAAACCCGAGTTCGAGCTCGAGCTCAACTTTTTAGGCCGAGTTCGAGTTCGAGTAGTCGAGTAATCGAGTAATTTTTATAAAAGAATATTTTAAAATAATTTCAATAAAAACAATACTTTTACTAAAGACTATTCATAATCAGTGCCGTGTTTTGGGCATTTGTTAGCAGTAATGCGTTAGATCTTTATTCAAATCCCAGTTATTTTCGTTAATCCGTCTATATCCCTCTTAATCCGCAGAAATTCCAGGATATGCACACGATCCATGTTGAATCCGGGCTCCGGGTTGAACAACAATGGATAATATTATTTTGGGGATTCGTGTAGATTAAGGGGATATCGAGTGATAAGAGGAATGAGATGGAGATCAAGGGATTAAGCGGGATCTGGGCCGATAATAGTGAGATTTGGGTTATTAGGAGCAAAATCTTAGAAATTCGGGAGATTAATGGGATATCATTGGATTAGGTATATTGTCGAAAGGTGATCATGAGATCCGTTGCTCTATCCCTCTCTTTTCGCGCAGTCGGCTTAAATTTTAAGAATTTCTGAAGGTTAAGTAGGAACACCAATTTTCAGAAGGCCAGATCCCTCGCTATTCTTTTAGATCCCTTGAAATATCCGGATATCACTAAAATCCACTTAACTTGATTGAATCCTCCGATATACACAAATCTTCTTTTTTCAGCGCCGCAGGCGAAAATTTTGAGAAATTTGGAAGACTAACACACTTGATTTCTTCCTTTTCAGCGCCGCAGGCAAAAATTTTGAGAATTTTGGAAGATCCTTAAGCTAAAAATCTTCCTTTTTGCGCCGCAGATGGGGGCATAAAAATACTCGGTTTTAACCGAGTACGTCGAGTAGAAAGTTTCCGAGCTCGAGTAATCCGAGTATTATGATCCCGAGTTCCGAGTCGAGTAATTACACAAAAAACCCGAGCGGTCGAGTCGAGTAACTCGAACTCGCTCGAACTCGACTTACTCTACTATAAAGAATATCTGAAAATAATAGTATTGAGAGCAATTAATTCTAGAGAGATGATTAAGTGGGAGGGTGATTTGGGAAAAATCAAAGGTGAGAGACAAGCAAAAAATATTATGTAAGATTAAAAACTTGATGACGTTTAATATTCTAAATTTATCTAAATATTTTTTTTCTTTTCTAGTTATCCACAAAAGCAGATATTTGGTCAATGGGGATTATTATTTTAGAATATATTCTAAATAGCCCTTCAATGAAAGGGCCATTGGAAATGTTTAGATTTTTACGAGGAAATATAACAACTAATCATCGTATAGGTATTCTCCAAATATTAAAAGAATTAAATTTTTTCTACAAAATGAGAGAAAAGAAATGGAATAAGAGAATACAGGTATTTAGTAATTAATGGAGATATGTGATTATTTTAAAATTTAACTCTTTTGTGAAATTTGATTCTTACAACGGTGTTTCAAATCTTAGATGCTCGTACTTACCGACTAGGAGGTACGAGTTTTGGCACGAGCATTAAAGAATAAAAAAAGAGAATTTATAATTTTAATTTTCGAGAAAACCCTGGTGAAAGATAGTCATCTAGGCATTTAGTACCGGAGCTGTTTCAAAATTTCGATTTCTGAGGTTTTTTTCCGTTTCGAAACAGCTGTTTAGTACGAATCTAAACAAAAATAAATTTAGAATATTTCAAAAATTTAAAATATTTTTTCCTTTAAGAAAAGATTTGAAGTTTTTGTAAAAGAAGAATTAGAAAAAAGAAAGGGAAAATCTAAAAGTAGACATAACAGTAGTAGTAATAGAAGTTCAAGTACTAGTACAAGTAGTCAACAAAATGAATATCTTGAATATTTAAAACCTCCAGAAGAAAGTTATTTAGCTTATATTATTTTAATATTAAATATACAAAATACACATCCATTCATTTTTCGAATGGTAACAGCTTCGTTAGAATATAATCAAATAGATCGTCCATCGGCTATTGGAATGTTATCTTTTATGGAAGGGAAATGTTATTTTAGACATGAAATTAATAAAAAAAATAAAAACCCAATTTTTATTGTTCCAAAATTAATTTTTAAAGGATTGGATTATTTAAGAAAAAAAAGAGAGGGAATTGAACAACAAACTTTAAAAATTAATGGTAAATTGTTTTAATCAGACTAGGACACTGATCCTGATTTTGGTATCCGTATCCGGATATTTACGGCGGATACAGACGGATATCCTCAGGCATTATTACAATATCCGTATCCATGTCCTAGTCTGGTTTTATTGGTTAAATAAATTTAATCTTAATTCAAAATTTAGAGATAAAAAATAATGTAGCTGAAATGCTTACTAAATTATTAAAAAATAAAGGAATTGAAGAACAACAAGAAACAAAAAAGAAATGGAATTGTTATGAGTTTTTCTTAAATTGTTTATTGGGAAAAAAGAATAAAGACAAAGTAAATATTGAAGATAATGTAACAAAAATAGATTTAAGAAGGCTTAAATGGGATAACACAAACATTAAACACAAACCCCCACTTGTTGAATGTGATACCGAAAATACAGCTAAAGCAACATTTAATTATACAAAGAAGGAAATAGGCAATAAGAAAGGAAAAAATAAAAATGAAAAGCATTCGGAAATGAGTGGATATGAGGGAGATGCTGGTGGTCGATCATCGTTTTCATTACCTTCAACACCGATAAGGGAACAATTTTCGTCTCCAATAACTGACTATGAAACAAATCAATTGCTATCACCACAACGTTCATGGAGTGCAACACCAAAAAGAGAAGAATATTCGTCTTATACATTGAATGAAACTGATTGATAGAGTTGCGAGTTCTATGTAGTCACAAAAAATACATTATAAACGCACATATAGGTATTACAAACCAGCCGGTTTAAAATGACTACCTTCCATAATTTAGTGTAAGGCACGGTACGGTATACAGCGGTATTTTTTCCGGTATACCGATACCGTACCGGACAGAAAAATACCGCGTTATTTCGGTAGTTTGAACTAATCAAAATTTTCGCCTTCGGCGCTGAAAATTCACGAATATATCCGGAATTCACGAATATATCCGGATAACAAAATCCGTGTCTAGTCCATACACTTATATCCTACTACCTTAGTGATGTTCGGGTATCCCGACTCCCGACACCCGACTCGGGAAATTTCCCGAGTTTTTGGCCTCCCGATCCCGACCCCGACTCCCGATGTCAATTCCCGACTAAGTCGGGAAATTTTTACACCCCTAAGAATGGCTTTTTCTGATAAAATTTTATTTTTAAAAGGAAAAAATAAAGAGAAAAAAATAAAAAAAGGGAGAGGGAAAATACAATATTAAATTTTTTTCCTAGTTAGCTATTGTTGATAGGTGGTTGAGTGGTTAAGTTCAGTGATTTCAGCTAATTTGATGGGGCTGGGTTCGAATCCAGTGTTGTGAAATGTATGTAATTAATTTTTCCTTCCAAAAATAAATGGTTTTTAACATTCAATTTGATTTTATAATTTTAAAATTATTTTTTTCAATATTAAAACGTAAAAAAACTCTAGAAAAATTAATTTAGTCATGAATTTTCAAAAATGAAGAATAGCGGCGCAGAAAATGAAGAATATCTGGATTCTTGGCCTCAAACTTAAAAAAAGTTTGCTTGCGACGCCTAGGGAGGAAAAATTTGACTTCTTGATATTCCAAATTTAAAAAATTTTCGCTCATTGGCTTTACAATTCTCAAAATTTTCGCCTCCGGCGGTAAATAAAAGAAGTCTGGTTCTTAGACTTCCAAACTTAAAAAAATTTTGCCTGCGGCGCAGACAAAGAATTTGAGATTAAGAGGGATTCAAAAGATTAAAAGGTAAAAAGTCCGATGGAATAGGTGAAAAGTTCCTTGGAATAGTTTGGTTTTCGGATAAGCGGTGAAATTTTGATGGAATAGGTCAAGCCCCCCTCCTCCCCAGCCACAAAATTGGCGAAAGGCAAAGGGCAAGGAATATGGAGATCGGAAAAGTGAATTTTTTCGTCTACGACCTCCAAGTTCTCAAATTTTTGCCTGAAGCGCTGAAAATGGAAGATATCTGGCTTCTTCACTTTACAAAATTCACAAAATTTTGCCTGCAGTACAAAAAAAAACGGAATTTTTGGCGCCGAAGGCGCCAAAATTTTTTTTATGTGAATTCCCGACTCCCGATCCCGACTCCCGAGGTCATTTCCCGACCCGACTCCCGTTTCCCGATTCCCGGGTTTTTTCTTCTCCCGAACATCACTATACTACCTATACATGGTTCAAACAACAAACTATTCAATGTTTTTACAAAACTGTTATTTTTATTATAAATTAAGATATAAAATTTGAAAAATTAATTTAAATATTATTCGAGTTATTTTTTTGGTTTGTAGTAATTTTATGCTTGACATTTTCTGTTCCCAACAGTGAGAGGAGCTCTCACGTGTTATACGTTTTTTAAAATATAATCTATAGACAAAAATAATATCATTTAATCGAGATCATAAAAATAAAAGGAAAAAATTATCAACGGAGTCATTATTTCCTCCAATCATGTCCTTATTTGATTATTTTGCACGGCAGATTTTAAACCAGGTACAGGGCTGATTGTAATTTCGTTAATGTTTCACTTTTTCGTGCTCTTTTGTCGATTTCGTTTCGGAACGAAAAAACTCTAAAATTATCAAAATTTTCGCCTGCGGCGCTAGGAATGGAAGAAATTGGGCTTTGACTCAAGGGGTGGATTAAGTTACCAAGTCCGATAACACACACTACAAAAAGGCTGCGTCTTTTATAGCAGTTAGCCCAAGCAGTTAGCCGGGGTTTAGAGTTAGCCGGGGTTTAGTTTAGTGATTTTTGAGTCATTAATTTTGTACCTCACTGTATATCTGGAGATTAAGTAGATTTTCAAGGGATATCTGAGATATCTCTTAATCGATTCCACCCTAATCACCAAATATCGGTGGATTTGACGATAAAGTATAGTTGGAGATATTACGTGAGTTTGGGAGGATATCAAGTATTAAAACGGATGTCCGTCGATTTAAAGGGATTAAGGTGGATATCAGTAGACTTGGAGGGTCCTCTCTTGATTCTGAGATGCTTTCATCACGAATCTAGCTCTTGGGGCTATATTTATATTTAAATAGTGATTAAAACCTTTTTTAACTAAAAAATTAACATTTTAAATTTTTATTCTATTTCGTTTATTTCTTTTCGCTCCGAAACGAAATAGAGTTTATTTTAGCTTTCCCTTGAAGTATTCTTCTGCAATTGTTCTATCTCAGAAATCTATTTTTTTATTTTATATTTTAATTTTATTTTAATTTATATAATATAATAATTTTAATTTTTGTAATATGTAATTTAATTTTAATAATTAACCTAATTTTAATCTTTTTTAATAATAATTTTTTAAATAATATATAATTTTTTAATAATATTTTCAATAATAATTGATTTTTTATATTTTTTATATATTTTAGATTTGATTTTTATATTTTATTTGTACCGATTCCATACTTGTTTAAGAAAAAACTGTAGATTTCCTCTTTGTTGATTTTTTAAAATAATAAAAAAAATTATAAATAATTTAAATAATAATTTTAATACTTTATAATATTATAAAATATGTATTAAAATTATTATTTAAATTATTTATAAGTTTTTTTTATTATTTTACTAAAATCAACAAAGTGGAAATCTATAATTTTTAAAAAGAATAAGTGTGGCATCGGCACATTTAAAATATAAAAATCAAATCGAAAATATATAAAAAATATAAAAAATCAATTATTTTATAAGATATTATTAAAAAATTATATATTATTTAAAAAATTATTATTAAAATATTGGTGATTAAAATTAGGAATTTTTAATTAATATTTTAATTTTTAATTATAAATAATTTTAATTAATATTTTAATTTTTAATTAATATTTTATTTTATATTTTAATAATTTTTAATTAATAATATTTAAATTTTTAATTACAATAATTTAATTTTTAATTATAAATAATTTAAATTTTTAATAATAATTTTAATTTATAATATTTTATTTATTAATAATAATTTTTTATTTCATTTATTTGAATTTTTAAGAGCTGTCAAAGTCTTGGGGCTAAACATAAAATAATTTTAATTCTTAATATTTAAATGTACACAAAAATATCGGACCAAATGAGCTGGGAGAGAATTGCCTAGTCTAAACAGAGTCAACATCAGAGACCTCTCTCAATCACTTCAAATCTCCCAACTTTCCTCCAAATCCCCTGATATCACCATTATTTCCTTCAAACCCTCTTAATCCACTTAACAAAAACCTCTTAAATCCGCTCATATCACACGATATACCTCCAAATCGAAAAGAAATTAATGCAACCAATTATGTTAATTAATAGTAAGGCCAAGCAAGCGATTTCTTTCATTTTTAATTTTGAAAATTTAAATTGCCTAAGGCTTTTTTGTTTCGTTGTTTAAAAATCGTCAAGCAAATGGTGCAATTAGGACTTAATCTAAGGAAATAGTAACGCCGTTGAATTCCATTGAAAAATTACTATTTACAAAGGAACATGATTGTAAATTTTCAATTTATATAGTTAAAAGTGATAGAAATGGGACGGGGAAACTAATAAACTGGACCGGGTCACGATCTAATTTCTATCTTTACAATAAATTACAACAACAGATTAAATCTATAAAAAATTTACAACTCTCTAAAGTAAAGTCAAGGTATCATCAGTTGAATCATGTACTGAACCAACTCCAACCAGTGTATTGTCTGGGTCCCTTTCAACAATTGTACACAACTGCTGTTGTCGAGATCGTCCTGTGCTTTCACCTGAAGAGGCAACTGAGAGCGAAGAACCAGCACGCAGCTGTTGACGTTGTAAAGGTTGAATAACTCCACCACTTATATTGACAGAAGAAGCCCGATCAAATGATTTTTTCTCGTGTACCTTAAATAATTCAAAAATGAAAACGGTAAAAAATATTTGAGGTTTTCTTAAGGAATCCAAGAAAAAAAGTTAAGGGGAAAAAAGTACTCCCTCAATTTTGACAAAAAACTCACATCAATAAATATCAGTTTAACATTGGCATCAAAGTAATAAAATTCCTCCTCGCTAATGTAATGTTCCACATTCTCCTTTGCCCAATCTTCACTTTCACCAGTAAAATTCATAAATTTTGTAAAATTTTGTCCAAAAGTCGAAAGTTGACCACCCAACTTTTTTTCAAAACTGAAAAATTAAAATCGGTTAAGATATTTTCTTTTTCAAACAAGCCCTCCCTACAAATTAATGCTATAAATTTCGTGTTAAGGTAATATGTATAGATTCAGAATCATCTTTTATTACCAAACACATTTTTTATAGCTAGCATTAATCAGACCTACCCATGGATACGGATCCACTTAATTCCAAGATATTTTTAAAAGTACTAATTTCAAAATTTTTACTGTTTTAATCGTTGTCTTTGTCTCTCTTCACCCCAAAAAATAACAATTTGCAAGGCTGATTCATCTCTAGATGTTGACATGCCTAGAGCAGAAATAACTGAAGAAAGGGTACTCGGCCGATGTGCAGATTTATTCTGTGATTGAAATGAACGCCGATCAGTTAAACAGCGAACAGATATTGACTAAAATTATAAAAAATTGAAATGTTAGAAAATTAAAAAAAAACTCGTCTGGAGTCATCCTGTCCTTTTTTGTTAATGATGACATTCCTTGTAGAAACCATCGCCTCATGATTTGGAATTAACTCCCCACCTCTTCCATAAATAAAAATACTGGCAAATGCAGCTCTAAAATTGAAAAACTTTTCTATTTATTATTTTGGCATTTTTACCTATTTCCATGATTTTGTAAAATAAAATTAAATGAATTAGTTGAATTGACCAATAATTGATATCGACCATTTGCTGAGAGTAAGAGATTATTTATCCTGTCCTCAATACAAGGAGTAATAATAGAACGACCACCATATCCATGAACACAAAACTTAAATTTTTATAAAATTTTAAATAATTATATTCTGAAAAACCTTATATTTTCGAGATTCATGCCTAGATTGGCAATGAATAAAAAGATAGTTTGCATAGTGTTCAGCAGAAGTAGGCGTAAAAGAAATAACAATTTTTGGTAAGCATCCCACTCCAAAATTGAAGATACATTTTCAGCTGGGCTAACTAACTAGAAAGTAAAAGAAAATGATAATAGAAATATAGTTTAACAAATAAAAATTATTTAAGTAAAAATAAATACCTTGAAACAATTGTCAGATTTTGAATTGTTTTTTATCCAACAACGAATGAGTAACCGTTCTCGACCATAATGAATATTATGAATACGTAAAAATTCCTCAGAATCAAGTCCATCCAAACGTTTAAAACCAAAATAAACTGTATAACGAGTGCCAGAAATAAATGGTTTTACATTATTTATACTTTTATTTAAAAAGCGTGAAGGTGAAAGTGGCGGTCTTTGTTGTTGTTGTTGTGGAATACTATTAAAAGTTGTTGAATTTTTTGTTGAGTCTTTAGGTATTTGATGAATAGAACTTTGTTTAGGAGAATTTTTTAAATTATCCAAATTGATAGAATTGTTTGCTTTAGTTGGGATCTTAAAAAGGATATTTATTTATATTTATTTTAAAGTATTTATAAATAAATTTTGTTAAAGACTTCGAAATTTCAAAATTAAGTGAACGTTTAATTACCTGAATACTACTCAAATCCAATTCAGATCGGATAATTGCATTCTGGCAACGAAGAGCACTTTCCTCCCAACTGTTCTTAATTGAATATTGTGAAGTGTGGAAAGACCCAGAAGGAAGACGTAAATAGTTCTCATGTCCCAAGCGCTCATGATCTTCATTAATTACTTGCAAAGCATTTTCTCCATGTTTGAATGAATAAGATAATTCATCTGGGGCCTCCGTAATTTTTGAAAGATTTGACACAGGTACACGACGAAAAGAGCTATTTGAACAAGTACGGCCAACTGTGGAAGATGCTTGTGAAGGACTGCTAGTATGATCGATTGGCTGTTGTAAACCATCATGGTCTAAATTTTTAAATATAAATAAAATTTCAATAAAATAAGTATTTTTGTCGCGTTTCTGTGCGCTTTAATTTCTTCAAACAGCAAAAATATTAGTTAGCATTTTTAGAAACAAAACATAAAATTAGCAATTTAAAAGTCTAGATGGAAAGCAAAAGGTTTGCAAAGAACAACAGAGAAGTATTAAGTGGATGAGAAAGGTGTAAAAAGTATGAAACAAAGGGAAGGCAAAGAGAAGAGTAAAATTCAAAGATTATTTCACACGTTTAAAGCGAAATAAGAACTGCGGGAAATTTTGTTTCTAATAATTTTAGCAAAAAAGCTCATTTTTCAATAAGCGGTATGTATACTTTTTAAAAGAACGATATTTTCACCTATCAAATTTAAATAAAAAAAGCAAATAGAAACCTTCAGGAGCATCATTTACTTCACATTCTTCATCATCAAAGTTGTCATCATTAGCAAAAAATTCATTGTCATCATCATCCTCAGCGTCTCGAATATTTCCAAAATCACTTGCAGTTGTTCTATTTATTTTAGATCTGTCAGCCATATTTCTTTAAAAACTTTAAATATTAAAAAGCATATATAGAAGAAAAAAGCAAATAATAAATTGAAAGTAACAATTTAAAAAAAAACATTTTTAATTAAAAATTTTATCCAAATAAATTAAATAAAACAAATTAAAGAAGCGCTGCTCCAGATTTGGAAATAAGAACAAATAATTTCTGCAATTTATCCTTCGTCAAAACCTAAAAACGAAAATAATTTTAAAAATGAATAAGATACAAATACTTTGTATAAACAGAATGTCGGATCAAACAGCAATTTCCCGACTTCAAGGACCTTCATTGGTTCATCTGATCGTGTATGAATATCAACAAGCAATTCCAAGAGATTTGCTAGAAAGTTCTTTCGAATTTCCATGAAATCATGAGATCGTTCAACCACCAAAAATTTATAAATTAAAAAAATAAAAATTTGTTAGACTATTTTTCCTATTTTTTCATTTGCCCTCAATTTGCCTTTAAACGTATAAGTAAATGTATAAATTTACATGTAGCTGGTTTTCTTGTTAGTAGACGAATGGAAGCTTTTTGAAATTTCGAGTTAAAAGGAATTAAACGGCCCATAACCAGTTTTACTCTTCAAAATGTTAGTAAACTTAATAAAATATGTAAATCCGATTCGATCCAATTTAAAAGAAGGCAAATTGATGATAAGCAAAGAAAAGAATATGGACGAATTAAAATTGTTTAAAAACTAATTCACCTCTGAATCAGTATCACCATTATTTTCTAATGGTGATGCAACAAGCCAACCATTGGGCGCTTTTAAAATATGCTCCAACATTTCCACTACCCTCTAAATTAAATTAAAATCACAATTTACTAACGAATCATTAAAAACCTTTTTATAGAGTTCAACAAGGCGATAATATTTCTGCAAACAATCATGTGCTCGTCTAACACTCAATTCATATTCTGTTCTCCGACGAATGTCCAATCGTGCCCAACGTTCATCACTTAGTTTTTGAGGAATTTCTGGTGCCTGATCTCCTTCCATCTGTTTTTGCCATTCATCATATCTATTAATTGCTTCCTAAAAAATCAAAAAATTTCTAATAAAAACATAAAACAAACAAAATAAAATTGATAACATTCAAATTCATATTTAGCATCAAGAAGGCGAACAGGTATTTCCATGTCTTGGAATTTTTTTTGGAAACAATCAATAGCATCATCACTTAAATTTTCCGGGACCATTCTTATTAGTTCCATAGCTTCATCCATTCTATTGTACACTTAATCGAATATTTTTAAATAAGATTTTGATAGAGGGATAAACAAAAAAAATTTTGGGAACAAAAATCAGAATTCAAACTAGCTACTTACAAAAAAATTTGCGCAGTAAATAATTTGCCTCAATAACAGCATCCCAAATAGTTTCAGTACCACAAAATGTCAACCATTTCCAGGCACGTAACATCTCATTTGCAGATTTGACCAAATTTCTTTGTTCGCCATCTTTGTCGACGTCTAATTTATATTTTTGTTTAAATCGTTGAAAAAGTTCTGTGCAAAGCTGAGGAACGTCAAAACCGACATTTTGAGCATTATCCAAAATTTCATTCTGTTCTGGCTCAAATGTAATGCCTAAAAATGAACAAAATTTAAAAATAAATCAAAAAACAACCTTCAAGAAAATTTAACATTTTTTCAAATGATTGTTCTTTTTGAGGTAAATGAAATAAATAAAAAGGAACAAGAGGATTTAACTTCATTTGAATTAATATTGATGAGTAATTCTCTATTAAATTAACCAAAACATTTTCCAAATTTGAAGGTAAACGATCAGAAAATTTTAATAAAAGCAGAAGATGAATAAAGTAACGAAGCTCATTTGCTGTTTTTTGTGACTGATTATCATTTAAATAAGTACCAATATACTTGGCTACTGATGGCCAATCTTCAAGAGATAAAAATTCAAAAAGAGCATAATAAGGGTTTTCATCATTCTAACAATAAATAAAATAAAATCTCAAATTTTGTTTAAAATTATTTACTATTTGAATTTGTTTAAATATTGAATGAATATCTTTTGGAACATCTTCATTCTCAACTGACAAATCATTGAATATTAAACTAATTCTTCCACCATTTGTTGAATGTAAATCGGCAAGTGAATTATCTAAATTTTAAAGGATTCGATCGATTTTTTTAAGTAGGAAAGAAGTGAAGTACAAAACGGTAAAGAAGTAATCTAATGAATATTGTAAGAACTTGGAAAGTGAACGCCTAACCAAACTACGTCAGAACATGCTAGGAATACAAGAATAGTTTAATACGTATAAAATTTAAACTATTCACAATGTCAAAAAAGATTTAAATTTATAAATTAACCTAAAATTGCTTCAACTGCACAGCTTAAAAGAGCCCAGAGACGATCCTCAGAAGAATTAGCGTAATTAAACAGCGTCGGTAAATGTCCGGAAATTGTTGCCCAAATACATTGATCAGATGGTTGAACACGGCCTTTACCTTCCTATTAAACAAAAATTATTTTTTAATAATTTACAAAACATTCCCAACCAAAGGAATTAATTCACGAGCCATTTGTTTAAAATAAAGTCGAGACTGTGCCAAAATAAAATTATCTTCAAAACGATCCAAAGGTGTAAGTTTTTGATTTGTCAGAAATTCACGAATTAAAATAAAAATAGACAAAGCAGGTAGGCCGACATTATCCAATAACGATTTGGCTTCTTCTAAACGTCCTGAACGAATAAGTGAAAATAGCAAGGTGTTTAATGTTTTTATTGATTCTTCATCTTCTGCAACAAGTCGATCAACAAATCTTGAATCAATATGAATGGGATTCCGTAATTTCGTAGAAGCACTAAAAATTTAAAAATAATAAAAATATTTTAAAAAAATTCTTGTAATAGTGCATTAAAAATGGAGGACATGAAATTTTAATTAGATAAGGGTGAATCCAGAAAACATGGGGGAATAATTTCTGAAAAGTTGTATTCATAGTTTTGGTGCCTATGACGACAAAAATCTCGACTTTAGTTGCAAAGGCAAAAAATTTTTAGGTTGAAAAATAAGGGTTAGCGGATAAGGACTTGATAATTAAAAAACCATAGGAGCGATTGTATTATTCTAATTGACCTCGAGACCAAAAATTTAAAAAAATGTTAAATATTTTCTTACTAAATATTTTCCGTATCCGTAAGTTTTAGAGCGTCTTCATTTGAGATTCTGCTAAAATCGGTCGGAGAAAAAAGAGAACATTCTTCATTCCATAGTAAAAGGGTCTAAACGAATTTTTATTAAAGTAAAAATAACAAAAAACCGAAATGCGTCTAAACTGTTCACTTTCTCTAAAAAGCTTTGTTAGAACTGAAGTTGAAACCTAAAATAAAATGTTGAAAATAAATAAAAAAAATTTTGACCAAAATTTGATTATCATTTAACAATTTTTCAGAGTCATGCATCCTTAAAATCAATGCATAAGAAGCTCTTTCCAATGTTAGTTGATTTAAAAGAATTTTAGAATGTGGGTCAATATGAGAAGAGTCATTACAGAATTTTTCAATGCCATTAACTCCACATTCACAAATCTATAAAATTTGAGAAAATTTTTGAAAAACTCGAAGTTAAAGAAATCAAAAAATAAGGAAATAAAGGATGATTAGGTAAAATAAAAGATGATTAGAAATAAAGGATGATTCATTTCTGAAATTTACCAGTAGGTAATCGAGTGTGCTAAACGGACTCAGCGCACTTGATTACCTATTGTCATGCCTCAAAAATGTCAAACGAGCACATCTCCCTCGTTTTTTCTAAGGACCAATGAAGCAGAATATTACCGATGATTCTTTATAGAAAACAAAAAATAGTTCTGGCGGCAAAGAAAACTTAAACACGAGAAGTTGTCCTAATTCAAAAAATATTAACTAACCTCTAAAAATTTACGCAGCAACTCCAAAAACCATTCATCCTTGTTTTCCTTATTATGGCTAATCCTTGAATGCATTCCAAGAATATGCGTACAAAAATCCTCAAAAATTATACGAGTAACTTAAAATTTAAAAAGTTTAAAGAAAATAAATTTTTATTTTTACAAACGTTTAACAAGTAATTCATTTCTGTCCAAAAATTGTAAAGAAGCAAATTCATTAGGATGATTTTCACGATCTGAATTTGATCCACCAGACACTGAAAGAATACTGGTAATGTCACAATTAGAATAACCATGCCCTTTAGATTCTGTAATTATCGATGAATCGTCAATCATAATTGTTAAATTTTTCTAAAATGAAAAAATAGAACAATTAGAAAAACAAAAAAAAATCGAATCTTAAGATAAAAACAAATTTCGATTTTTATAAGTATTTTATGATCAAAATTCGTAACAAAACTCGTAGACGAGAAAAAAGAAAGGTACGAGGACGAGAAAAAATGGGCAAAATAGGAGCAATTATTCCCAATTTTGTCAACAATTTTTTGCGCCACAGAAGCTCACCCAATCAACCGAGAAAAAATGACCAACACCGATCTAGATCTGATCAACCATAGATACAATAAAATAACAATAAAAAAATTATTTGGGAGTTAAATACTCCCATTCAAAAATAATCACGTCGTGAATTAGAAAGATTAATTTTAACACGAAAACATTATTGGAAATGAGAAATTTATTAATAAATAAAACATGGGTAGCAAAAATGTAAAAGAGAACTATACAAACACACAGTATTTCTTTTTCTTCTCTAAAATATATATTTACAGCTTGTTAAAAGCCACTTGGTGAAGTGTCTCATTTTTTCTGCCTTCTCTAATTTGTTCACTCGTTTAAAGCAATACTCTCAATTTGTTGCAACATGCTTTAAGATTTTATTTTTAAAATGTAGTAATTTTAATGCAAAATTCCAGAATTATTCCATATTCCATTAAAATAAATCTAAGGAAGAGAAATCTAAGGCGATTAAACTTTTACCTCGTCCTTATTTAATGAACCATGATTAAATGAAAGTCGTATAAATTTGAATTTATAAAGGAAATTTAGGCTGAGTTATGGCCAAAAATGTATAAATTTTTTGGAGGATTAAACTATTGGCGGTTAAGCTATATGGAGGATTAAGCTGATATATGTGGAGTTGAAGGGATATCTCTTAAAAAAAGCTAGATTTCTTCTTTTTTTTTCCGTTTTTGAACAATTCCACATTGTTGGAACAAACATCTCCATCATTGGAATACTTATTTGTAAAATAAAAAAATATTTTTTGGTCAGAATGTATTCTGGTTGGACCGGTACTTTCTGGTAATACCGGTACTTTCTATAAAAATCCCTGAGATACCCACCTTTAGAATTAATTTTCGAATTAATAAAGTTTTTCAATAATATTTTTTCTTTTAAAAGGAAATTACATATTTAACATCAGTCAATCCCTTTAAAAAATAAAATGCTTTTTCGACACTTTTTTCTTTTCATGAATTGAATATTAAAAAATATTAAAAAAGTTTTTTTTCCATTCCATCATTGTTTACACCCCTTTACCTCTTATTTTAAACACAAATAGATTGGAAAAAAAGAATGAGGATATCCAGCATAGCAATTATTTTTATTGTTGTTGTACTTCCAAAAAATATACCTACTAGAAGACCAAACGATTTTTATTGGCACTCTGCGAGAAAAGAGAGAGGAATATTTAAATTAGCTAAAATATAACAATAATGGGGAATGGAATTTTTTTATTTATTTTTTGTATATTAATTTAATTTATTTAATAATCCATGTACAAAATCCTAAGAATTAAAATATTATTTTTGATTTCTCATGGAAATTTTTGGGTCTAAGAAATTAACACAAAAAGAGGGATAGAATTTAATAATAAATTTTTATTATTTTTAATTAATATTTTTTTATGTTTTCTTTTCTATTTTCTTCTTTTTTTTTAATTAATAGCAAATTTTTATTAATAATATAAGAATACAAAAATAATTTTAATAAAATTTTTAATTAAAAAACAAATTAAATATCTTATACGAAATGCCTTGTTTTATTCCATTTCTCTTAAAAATTGGAATAAGATGAGAAAAGGCACAATGACTTTTATTTGAAAAAAGAGAAATGTTTTTTTGTCCTTTGCAGCTTATTTCCTATTTATTCCTCTTTATTCTCGATTTCAATTTCCCTTTTCCCTTTTTTTGGAAAATCCAATTAATTAGTCTAAGACATCTTTAAGTAGGGTTGTCTGGAAATTCTCGGATATCCATAACCGAATCGAAAAATCCTCGGTTCTTCGGTTCGGTCCAGAATCGACTATAAGTTATCTTTTTTAACAAGTTAATAATTTGCCAATATTTGCTTCATTTCCTTCTTAAAAAATAATTTAATTAATATGAGATTTCTGGATTTTATTTTAAAGATGATTAACATTTTTGTTCCTTCTTTACATGCGAGATACTAATGAGCGAAATTTTGTTAATTAAATCTTTTAAACATTAAAATAATTAATTTTTTCGAACTTTTTCCAAATTTATTAATTCCTCTTTACTTTTTAAATGGAAATACCAAAATTAATTTTAATTATTTATTTTATTATATTTTCTATTTTCACAATTATTTTAGCAGATAGTAAGCAATTAAATAAATATATTTTTTAATTTTATTATTATTTTTTTAAAATAGGGCGTGCAATGTTTGAAGATGATGGAAAGTTTTTGCCCCACGTTCGTTTATCTAAAGATTTAGTTGAGAAATATGATAATAGAGTTCGTCCTGTATTAAATCATTCAAGGCCAACATTTGTTAATTTTACTATGAGTCTTTATCAAATTTTGGCGATAAATGAAAAAGTGCAAAGTGTTGATTTAAATCTTTGGGTTTGTTAAATTATTGAAATAAATTTGCAAAATTGTTTTTTTTTTGTTTAAATTTTATTTGAAAAAATTAAGTTCCTTGGATGGGATCCAAACAAAAAAATATATTTAGAGTGTTACATTTTATTTTAAAATTAAGTTTAATTTAATGTAAATTTTATTAATTTAATAAAAATAAAAAATTAAATAAAAATTTGGCAAAGAAAAGTAAATAATTGGAAGATTTTAATGGAGAATTCTTCTCTTTTTTCCTCTGTATTTTTAAATTAATAACTGATCACAATTTGATTATTAATTTTGTTAACTTAAATCATTTTTTGTCTCGACCTTCCAAACTTTAAAATTTTAGGTAATTCAAAAATGGCATGATGAGTTCCTTGGATGGGATCCAAATAAATATGGTTATATTTAAATTTTGAAAATAAAATTCTTTACATTAAAGGGGGAATTAATGACACAATATTGCCTCATGAAAAGATCTGGTTACCAGATACTTATTTATATAATTCTATGGTTATGAATAGAGAAGAAACTGAACGATACATTAATGTTGTTGTTAGTACTGGTAATTTAATTATAATTTAAAAATAAATGATTATTAATTAAAAGATGATAATTTTAAGCAGATAATTTTAAGATTTTTTTGTTAAAATTCTGAAAAATAAAAGTATTTTATATAAATATAAAATCATTTGACAAAAATTAAATTTTGTTTAATAAAAATTAAAAAAAAATATTTTAACTTTAAGAACATTGGCAAAGTAAACGAGGAGCACAAGTAATATTAATTTATGTAATTTACCAGTATTTTCTTATTTTTTAAAGGTTATTTTTATGTATCCAGCATTATATAGAGTTAGTTGTCGAATTAATATATTGTTAGTTTTGTTTAATTTTTTTCAAAAAAAATTTTTTAATATAAAGATATTTTCCATATGATCAACAAAATTGTACTTTAATTATTAGTTCTTGGACTTCAGATATTAGGTAATTAAATATTTAATTAGAAGAAGGGAAGTCATAATAGATATTAAAAATATATGCAGAACTTCTTTTAAATAAATCGAAAAAATTGTTGAAAATTTAAAATTTTCTTTAGACATATTCACTTAAATATTAATGAAAAAATTTTTATTTTTCGTTTAAAATTCCAAATTCTTTATTTAAATAACTAGACATTTATAATTATTAAAATTTAAATAAATGTTTTAAATTAAATAGCTCAATTGATTATCAACCAGATGCTAATTCTGTTAATTTACATAGTTTTATTAGAAACGAAGAATGGGAAGTTGTTTCTTTTGAAATTCAGAGAGTTGTGGTAATTACCTTTAGTAAATTAAACATTAAATGAAGAAATAAAGAAATTAAATAGACAAATATTTAATTATATATTTATAAAATTTTAGCAAAAATTTGTTTGTTGTCCAGAGCCTTGGGTTCTTTTGCATGCATCCCTTGTTGTTAGGCGTAAACCTCTTTATTATATTGTAAATAATCTTTTTATCAAAAAATATTTTTTCAAAAATTATTTTTTAGGTAAATTTAGTTTTGCCAACTTCAGTAATTACTTTAGTTGCCGTTACTGGATTTTTTACTCCAGCTTCTACAAGCAATGAAAGACGAGAAAAACTTAGCCTGGGAATTGATTCTGTATAGATAATTTAAATAAATTAATAATAATTAACTTTATTTTTAGTTATTGGCTATGAGTATTCTTATGATGATGGTAAATAAAAAATAATAAATTAAAGAAAAATAAAAAAAATTGTGTTTAGGTTAGTGAACAAATGCCCACGTTTGTTTTTAGATATCTCTAAAATATTTTTTTTTCAATTTTTTAGAACATCTGATTATCTCCCTTTATTTGGTAATTAATTTAAATATTTATTTAATATTTTTTTAGGTATTTTCTACCTTTCAATTATTTTAATTATTTTTGCTGGCACATTAATAACTGCTTTAGTTTTAAATGTTCATCTTCAAAAAATTTATAATAGGCCAATATCTCCGTTAATCTCTTTTATTTTCTTTCACAAATTGGCTCCATGGATGGGTGTTAGGCCCTCTACTGTTCTTTTAGAACTTTGGCAAGAAACTGGTTTTTATTTTAAATTTTTAAGTATTTTTATTTTAAAAAATCCATTATTTTTTTGGAACTTTAATTAAAAAGATTCGGTGCTTTTTTGTTTGAATTTTTTCTGAATTATAATCAAGTTTCTATTTTTAGAATTAAAATATTTAATTATTATCAAATTAATTTTAATATTTTTATCCTGCAGCTAGGTTGTTCTAGGGTATTTTTGAATTCAATCCCAGATATACCTATTTAATATCGATAACGGTAATATATATATATCGATAAGTTGAGAAGGTAATCGAAATGTTAATTCAGATTTTATTTTAGATTTAATTTAGATTTATCGAAAAATTACCTAAAAATAAATTTGATTTTTTAATTTAATTTAATTATTTAAATAAAGGTGTATATATTCGAGGACTAAGTGATAAATTATCAACAAGAAAGGAACGTAGACGAACAGCTTTTGGGAGTAAAAGTTTAAGAAACAAATCTATTCGAAGTACAAAAGATGGAATTATGTTGAAAAGGTAATTGAAATGTTGACATAAAATTGTTGACAGGAGGGATGTTGCATAATTGAGGCCCTCCTATAGTTCAAATATTTTTTTAATTCTTAAAAGTCGAATAAAACTTTAATTTCAATTTCCCTATTTAATTTTAAGATTTTCAACTGGAGGAAAATTTGGGAATAATTCTTTTAATAAAGAAGAAAGTAAAGGATTTGAATTAAAAACTCGTCAATGGCGCCATTCTCCGTCAAAAGATGATCAACAACAACAATTCTTTTCTTTAGATATTAATCACAATAATGGATTAACAATTGAAAAGTCAATTAAAGCAAGACAAAATTGGAGAAGAATTGCCCAAATGGCTTATGCTAAACGTTTTTTAACTGTTATTCAAACAAAAATATATTTTCCAAAATTAAAGATAAAGAATTAATTGAACGTGGAGGAGAACAACAAAATATTTTACTTTTAGATGAAATTCCTTATGCAGATATTTCCCCAGGCCGAAATTCTTTTATTTTACCTTCCCAACAACAACAACAATTAGATTACCTTCAATTACCATTAAATAATAATAATTTAAATAAAAAATTAATTACAATTTCTTCTCCCCCAAATAAATGCCCCCCACCAATTCCAAAACAAAATAAAAAAGAAAATTTAAATATTTACCCAACAACCTCCTCAAATAATTCTTTACCCAATTCTTTTCAATTATTATTAATTCCCCCAAAAATTGGGGGTGTTGGAGGAGGAAATGAAACAACAAAAATTAATGCTGCAGCAGTTTTAGATTTAAAACTTCGTAGACGTTTTGCACACGAATGGGAATTTTTGGCAACAGTTTTGGATAGAGTTTTACTTATTATATTTTCTGGGTAAATTTAAAATTAAATTAAATAGAGATATGAGATTTTAAAAAAATTTTATTTTTGAGATTAAAAATAAATTTTTAAGACAATTAATTAGAATTAACATAGGACTTTCATTTAATCGGGAAATAGGTAGGCGTCTGGGAAAATTTGATTATGTTTTTAAATATTTGGGGAAAATTTCCAAAAACTAAAATTACCTAGCTTACGTTCTTTGTAGTGTGGTGGTTATTCTAATCGTGTTAATTCTAGTCTGGTTTTAAAAAATTAGGTAAATGTTTTTGAGGGAAACTAAGGAAAAATCGAAAAACAAGATAAACATACATGTATAAGATTAACCATCTCCAACTAAATTTACTAATTAATTTTTATTGTCATTATTTACCGAGTATTTACAATTTTTATTGTTACACATTAATTATTTAAAGGCTTGTAATATTTGTGACTGGTGCTATGATTCTTTGCGGTGAAGTTATTCTTAGATCTTATCCGAACAGTCCAGAATAGATTTTTTTAAGACAAAAAGAATTTATAAAATATTTAGCTATACATATTTTAAATTAAAAATAAATATTAAATTTAAAAAACTATCACAATTCTTCATGTTCAACAGCCACAATACATTCTATTGCTGTTATAATTGCTAAAAATAATTTAATTAAATCTTTCTTATAATCAAATTTAATATATATTTTAGTTGCCAGTAATATGCTTATTATTAAGACTAGGGTCTTCGGGGGATCCCGCCACCGAGCGGGGATCAGGGTTTGTCGGGGTAGAGTTCGGGTCGGAGTTTTTGCCGAAAAAATAGTCGGTTTCGGGGGACTGTGTGCTACCCTAATTCAGACTAACATTCAACATTTTAAAAATTTATTCCTCCCTCTCCCCCTCCACCAAAACTTTTTAATTAAAAAATATACTACTACAGTACATTTATGTTTATTCTCTTCTAATTCATATAATCCATCATTATTACAGTTAAGCATTCTACGAATATTTGATTGTCCTTTATATTCCATAAAGGAAACACCCATATTTTGTTCACCATTATACCACTTTAAATTTTTAATTAGAAAAAATAATTTTTAACCCTAATAAATTTATATTTTTTTGTATTCTAAAATAAATTTGTAACTTTTATTTACAGTTTTCACATTAAATTTATATTGATTTAAGTTAATTCAAATACTTATAAATTTATTTAAATAAAATTATTAACTTGTAATATAGCTTCAGATCCTTTAGGAAGTCCACATTGAATATTTAATTGAACACATCCTTGAGAATCTTTACTATATTCAAATTTAATATATTTTTTATCGCCAATAATATCAACATTTTTACAAACAGAACAATCTGTCAAATAAATAAATTTCTTTAAATAAAGAAACTCTGGCTTTAATTATTATTTTTTGCTTTATCTTGTTTAATCTCGAGAGATATAGGATATATTTATTAAAATTAGATGTAGTTCAGTGAGGATCTGGCCGTAATTTTGTTCATTTAAGCTTTGTCTCCCCTATGGTCTTTTCAATTTTCGGCGGCTACCGAATAAAGTACACCTAAAAATAACGGGAAAGTACCAGGATGACATTTACAATTAAATTTCTTTAACTTATTACGAATTTATTTTTAAAAATAACAAGAAAAACATCCCTATTTAACGATTATTCAAAAAAATATTCTACATTAAAAAACCTTTTTTTAACTTTAAAAATTTTTTGCCAGAATCAACTAATTTATCCAGTTCCTCCATCATTAACAAAAAAGTAATTAAAAAACAAAAGGCAATAACCCCAATCAAAACCAATTGCCATCGAAATTTATTTTTCCTCAATAAATTTTTTAAATTTAAAATTTTTTAATTGAAAAACTACAAACTTTCTATGCAAATATTTTTTATTATTTTCTTCTTTATTGTCAACTTCCGAATTTTTATTTAATAATTGAGTTTGCTCATTTTCTTTACGACTTTTTGTGTTTCTAATATTTAAGCCATTCTCAATTAAATTCATTATCATATTTTTATTTAAAATTATTTAATGATTTTTATTAAATAAATTTATAAATAAATGAATGAATTATTTAGAATATATCTCTCAATATCTCTCAAAATTATACAGCTAAACAAATTGTATGTAGATATTCATTGTCTCTAATAATTGTCTTTATTATTTTATAATGAAAATAAAATTGTAAAAAAATAAAATTATTTATTCTTTTTACAAAAAAAATTAAATCAAAACTTTATTTAATTTTTGTGTTAAAATAGTAGTAAATTTTACTAAACTTTTGTATATATTAATCAAATTGAAATCAGATGTTTTCCAATCAGTTTATGTTTTGCTATCCCAATCGTTCAAATTTTAACGAACACTAATCAAGAAAAACTTTGGATATTGTCTCTATTTGGGTTGGAATTAAGGGTGTACCTCGTCATAAACTTCCAAACTTTAAAGAATATTAACAAATAAATAGTCAATTAACATACTAACCATTAAGAAATCAACAATATCTCTAAAATCTGTATCTTTTATGACTCATAAGTTAATTTAAAAAATAGTAATGGATCTCTCTTCAATTGACCTTATATTCATAGCAATTTCATCAAAATCATCCTTATTTATATCAAAAATTAACGGCCAATATGAAAAAGGATATGTAAGCAATAAAGGAACAAAAAATGAGAAACCGAAAAAAGATGTTAATTCCGTGAATTAAATTTTATATGTATACAGTCGCCAGCTCCGAGAAAAATTTCAAAACTATTTTAAAATTAAATAAGGATCTCAAAATAAAAAAACCTCTTAGTAATCAAGAGGTTTTGTATTAAAAATTCTCTCAGTAATAATTGTAAAACAAAAAAATAAGTTACTAATTAAGGCCCTCAATTAGACAATCCCTAAGAATTATTTATCTATCCAAGATGAATTAGGTAATCTTGAAAATATTCTTTATAAATAAAATTTTAAAAATTAATTTTTGATTAATGAAAAATATTTGAAAATTTTAATAATGACGTTCCATTCGTAATGATTTTTTCTGTTCGATACTAAAAGTAAATAACATTATTATTTAAGGCTATTGGTTTTCTTAAAACATTGTAAATTAATTTCTATTAGGTAAATTTTGTTTGAAGTAATGCAGGTTAACAAAGGAAAAAAAGGTAAAGAATATTAGTGATTGGAAGAAAAATAAATAGTTAATTAAAGAGAAAAAAAGTATTAAAGAAGAAGAGGGAAATAATGTTTATATTTATTGTTCTCTTACAACTTTTGCTAACTTTCCTTTTTATGAATATTTTCATCAGAAAAATGGTCAGTAAGCTCCAGAATTTCTTCATCCTTATTTGATTTTTGGATGGGAGTTTTTAACTCCCAAGTAAATATTATATTTTTAGTGTTTTTTGTCATTTTTAGTGTGGCTAGTGTTACTATTTTTAATGATATAATTTTTAGACTTAATTTAAAGAATACTCTACCCGATTTACTTCCTGCATAGTCAATTAATTACCCTCCCTCAACTTATTACTCCGCCTCTATCAATTACCCTCTCCAGAGAAGGTCAAAACAATAATTACCCAGGGTAATTAATAAATTATATACAAATATGTATTTTCTTATTAAATAAAATTATGCAAAAAAATATCTTTCTAAATATTTATTTCTTTGTTTGTATATTTATTAATATTTTATAAAGAAAATCTTACATCAAAAATCTACTTTTAACGATAAACAAATAAATTCGGATGCAAAAATATTTGCAAATATTATTTTGCCTATTAATATCTAACAATCAAATTAATGGATTTATTAAAATATTATTATATTTATGATAATGGAAATATTTTTTTGAAAAAATTTGGACGAAATATAAGTACAGAGTGCGGCAAATTAAGCGCGCGTTTGTTTTTTGCCATAACTTTCTTCAATTTTAATGAAAATTGATAGTTCTTTTTTTGTTTTATTCCCAACACTTTAGGAAACTTGCTGATACCAAAATTGCTTTTTAATTTTAAGTTTACTCTGAGTAAACTTCCCTCAAAGTTTGAGCAGAATTTTTTGGATAAAAATTGGCCTAGATTCAAGGCTGAGATTTTAATATTGGAAATGTTTATATCATTCGAATCAGCTCTTCATTCTGATTCGAATGACATAAAAATCATGGGGCTAAGACAAAAATCGAATGAGATACGGTCCTCTGAATGACAAATTAAAATAATTTTGATAAAAATAAAATTTTTGTGTAAAATTTTCAAAAATGAGATTATAAGCTATTTCGATGCTCCTGAACGAGATGAGTCGTTTAGTATCAAAATCATTGGTATTGAACGATTTTGAACGAAGTTATGATCAATTAAACTTTGGCATAAAAAATGTTTTTAAATTTTCCAGACGATCGAACTCGATTATCTTTGCCAACAGTGAACCAAATTTTTAATATTTGGTATCAGCAAGTTTCCTAAAGTGTTGGGAATAAAACAAAAAAAGAATTATCAATTTTCATTAAAATTGAAGAAAGTTATGGCAAAAAACAAACGCGCGCTTAATTTGCCGCACCCTGTACTTGCTGACAATTAAGTTTGTTACCTGCAGGGATGGGGATGAAAAACGAACAAAGAGGGGGAGGGGGTGGAGGGATACTTTCGGATAAACTAACTTTTTCATGAAGAAATTCAAGTTTTATTCGTTTAACTAATTTTCATGCCAGCAAGTTTTAAATACTATTAAAAACAAAATTTTCAAGAAAAAAATTTATTTATTTTTATTTTATTTTAATATTTTACACAAATTAATCTTCATTAAATAAATCTCCAATCATTTCTAACTGAGCAGCTAATTTCCTTGATTGCTCTACTGACTTTGTGCTTTTGTCCATTTTAGCCTGACAATCGGCATATTCTTGATGGGCTGTCTAAAAGGTTTAAATAAATTTTTTTCTTAAAAAAGAAAATATTAACTGCAATTAATTTGTTTAATTTTTGAAGAATGCTGACATGTTTTGTTGCACAACTAAACATTCCACGACTGAGGTATGCCTGGAAGAGATTATTGTTATTTGATTGTTTTTGTTCTTCTAAATTATTATTTTCTTCTTCAATTATTTTATTTGCATTAACAATTTCGAATATTCCATCTCCCAAAAATATAAATAAAATAGCAAATAAAGCTAATAATTTAGAGGAAGGTGGAAATATTGAAAAAGAATTTCTTCTATTTTTGTTTAATGATGAAATCGGCCTTTTTTGGATTAAACAAAAATTATTTTTATTTTCATTAGAATTATTTGTCCTTTTAATTATTTTTAACATTTTTTTGTTGTTTTTAAGTAAAAAATAAATGAGTAATTTGTTATTAATTAATTAATTAATTTTTTTTGAAATTCTGAAATAATTAAAAATTATTTTTAAAATTATTTTTTCAAAAATCTTTAGAAAAAAAAATTCTTTTTAAAATTTGCCTCATGAGAATCTCACGTGTCTCTTTAATGTTTTTGTCTAAATAATAAAGCTTTAATTACGTAAGGTATTTTTTGTATTGAATACTTTTATGTTTTTTTATAGAAAAATATTTTTTTAATTTGATTTTTGTATTATTTAAAATGTATTTTGGCATTTAAAAATTAATCTTTTTATTAAAATAAAAGATTTAATTTTTGTCGTTTTATTTTCAATAAAATAAAAATTTAATCTTTAAAGTGTGAGGAATAAAGATTAAATTAATAATTATTTAGTAAAAATAAATAAAAGAGAAGAAAAGTATTTTAAATAAAAATAATTAAATTGGAGTTATATATATTTGAATTTTGTTGAATAATTAACTAAATTTTAAATTAAATTATAATTTAAATTATTTGTATTTAACGAAAGATTGTTTGCTGGAATTGAGGATTTATTGATGTCGAAAAATTAATAGCTAGATTAATAAATTATTTTACATATTTCGAGTTTTTTCATCAAAACTCTTAACAATCTTTTTAACAATTTATAAAAAAAAATATAAAAATGTCGAGCGAAGAAGAGTCTTTTTAATCAAAAATAATTAAAATTTTCAGATATAAACAAAAAAAATAAAAACTAATTTTTTTAGATTTAAAGGAATGCTTAAAAAACAAAAAAAAATTTTTGGCTAACTAAATTAAAAGGAAAAACAAATAATTAAACCAAAAATTTTTTTAAATAAAATAAACATAAAAATAATAATAAGAAAAAACAAAAAAAACTTTGTTAAAAATAAAACACTTCCTCATATAAAAAAATAAAAATAAAATTAAAAAAAAACCTTCGGGAAGCAAACAACAAAATCCTATTTTTGTTCATAAATGGTATATTTTAAATGAAAAAAAAGGGAAAAGCTTAGATGGATATATGTATAAAGGAATTGCGCGCTTTCTACTTCTACTCACACAATTGGGCTGGTCATAAGCAGTGCCGAGAATTAAAAAAGAAAAAATTTTAAGCTAAGGAAACTTGAGAGCTTCTTTTCATTTAAATGAATGGGAATGACGGGTTATTATTTTTATTTTATTTTTACTTATGTTTGCCAAAGGAAAGGAGGGCAATTTTAGAGGAAGGGCAAAAACATTGGCAAAATGTCCGGTTTTGTCGTTCACTTAATAAAAATGATGACGTCTTTTTAGAGGAAAAAAGGGGATATCGAAACTAAAACAAACCCCCCCCCCCTCCAATTTTTTCTTTATTAAATAATGGTGGCAAAATGATATTGAATTGCTTTTTTACTGGATTAAGAGAAAATTAACTTTTAAAAAATAATTATTTATAGTAATTTCAATTGACGTGTAAATAGGTAAAAGGAAACTAGGTAGTTAATTCAAAATACAATTTATTAAAAAAAAAGATTTATTTACTAATTTTTAAAATTAAATTTAAATAATTAAAGAATTTTTTAAATTATAATAAAATATTAACTTTTCCCATCAATTGTTGTAAACAATTTTAGGCTTGTAAAGGAATAAAAAATGTTCGGAAAATGTTCCTTAAAAAATTTAGAAAATTTACAAAATAAAAGAAAAAGAAAAATAAATATATTTATTTATTAAAGTACCTAACACAAATTTAAAAAAAATATTTAGTCGGAAAATATTTTAGTAAAAATTATTTTAAAAATAATATTCTTTAATGTTAAAAATTTAAAGTAAATTAAATTTTATATTAAATTATAATTATAGAATATAAACTATTAAATAAAAGTAAAAATGACGTTAAATTAAAGGAAATTAAAACTTAAAATAAAAGGAAACAAAAGAAATTATTAACAAAAATTATTTAAAAACTTTAAAAAGGTAATTATTTTGACGCAAATGATTGGTAGAAATTAAGCTTTTTTTAAAAGAGAAATGTGTAATTAATTCTCTTTTAATTAATTTTCCCTTAAATAAAAATACCCAATAATTATTTATTTATTTTAAAATTGCCATATTTAATAGAAAAATTTAAAGAAAATCTTTTTCTTCGTTTTAAAATATTTTATGTATTTTCCCCCAATTGCCAATTTGTTGAAAAGGAGAAGAAATTTTTAAGAAAAAAAAATAAAATTTATTAAAATATATTTATTTTCCCCGCCTCCCGTAGGCGTAATTATAGAGGAGAAAAACACCGCCAATCATCTACCTCTCTCTTTCTCGATGACTGAGTGAGTGAGGATTTTCTTTAAAGAAACGTAAAAATTTTATTTTTCTTATTAATTATATGAGGAAATTTAAAGAGAAACAACAAAAATAAATAAAAATATTGAATTAATTAATTTATTTAAATTTACGTAAATAAATAAATAATTAATTAAAAAATTATTTTTTTTGGAAGTTTTGGGTTTTATTTTAAATATTAATTGAATTGATACATGAAAGATTAAAATGATTTAGAAAATAATGTGAAAAATATTATTAATTAATTAAGTAAAATAATATTTTTTAAAGAAAGGTGATTTTTAGAAAATTAATTATTTAAATAAAAATAAATATTTGATACTAAAATAAAAATTAATAAATAATTTAAAAATTAAAAAGAACAGATGAAAATTAAGACAGAGCCCTTATCTCGAATCTTTAACTGTCCGCAATTCTGAGCTAAAAAATCCGCAACTTTGTTGCTGGAGGCGAAAATTTTTAGGATTTGGAAGGCCTTAAGAGAAAAAATGTCATTTACAAGAAAATATTTAAAAAAATCCACTAATCTTCAAAAGACCCCAATCCGTTAATCCTCATCGGCCTATCAAAAACCACAAAATTAGACAAAATCCATTCGAGCCCTGACCTAGAGAGATTTATTTTGCCACACTATTTCTTTTATTAAAATCTCGTATCCCGACAATTATTGCTTCGCGTCCCGAAATAATTTTAAAACACAGTATTTTTAATAAAACAATTTAAACCGCATATCCGCTTCCGAGCTTCAGGGGCACACAAAAAGATCAAGGGAAAATATATTTGGGAGTTAAATCACTCCCATGCAAAAATACTAAAGAGCTTAATGACCAAGTCTAGTTAACGTTTAAAACATTCTTAGAAATGAAAATTTATTAACAAATGATCGACGGGTAGCAAACATGTGAGAGAGAAGAATACAAGTAAATAGTATTCTCTTTTTCTTTAATTCTTTTCTCTTTAATTATATACAATTGTTCCTACAACACAACTATTCTGTCTTCTTTTCCTTTTTTAACCTGTATTCTAGGGTTGTTGACGACAGGTTATTAACCGGTATTCCCGGTTTTCGGTTTTGGCCGGTTTATGACTCCCGGTTTTCGATTTTTGATTGACCCCCGGTTTTCGGTTAATCGAAACCGGTTTATGCCCGAATTTTAATCCACATATGTATGATAAAAGAGAATATTTTTTGTGAATTTTAAAAAACTTATTTAAAAAATAATAATTATTATTTGTAGCAGAGGAGGCGTTATTGCCAGCTTCATCACGAGTAAACAAAATAATTAACTTAGAAAAGTTTATTTAAAAGAAAAAGAAAATATCTAAAAAATATTTTTTTTAAAATATTAATTTAAAAAATAAGAAAAGCTTTCCGGGTTAAAAATTTAAATTTTAAAATTAATTATGTAAATATTTATAAAGAAATTTTATGTAATTAAATATCTTTATATTTAAAAAATTTTTTATAAATTATTTAGCATTGTTTTATTTCTACAGACGTATTTAGACATACAATTTACCTATATAAATATATTTAAATATTTATACGTTGTTTCCTTTTTGTTTCTAAATTTCTTTAATTTTTTAGTTATTGTGTGTAAAATAAGGAATTATGTGACGTAATTTTTAATTTTAAATTTCATTGATTTCAAAGAAAAAGGATAAAAACTACAAAATGTGTAAGAAAATTTCCGATACATAGATCTTTTCGTGTTAATTGATAAAATGATCAAAAAATAATCACTAAGAGGAAAAACACTCCAAAATTCTTTGTAAAAGAGCAATGTGTTAAATAAAATAGACGGAATGAGTTGAAGCAAACTTTTTCGGCAAAAAACAATCTTCGCGAGAATGGAACTTTGGAAAACATGAATTCACACGTTTTTAAAACAACTGGACAGAGGCCACCAATTTAATAAATTTATTTTAATTATCCCAATCATCCTATCAAATCAAGATTTAATCCATTGATACAATTCTTAAACATTATTCCTTAATTCAGGTGAAAACTTCCCCTTAATGACAATGTTTACCACCTAATATTTCCCCAATCTAAATATTTTGAGTACTATTTTTGTAACACATTTTGGCTGATCAAAAAACAAGTTTGTTAAAAACAACGTAATAAATTATTTACGTCTTTTAATTCCAATCTGATCAATGTCAGGGAAACTTTTTCGAAACAAATAACTTAAGAGGATCTTAGACAAACAACACACAAACATATACGTAGGTGTAAACAAACGCAAATATTTTTTGTTTTGTCTAAAAAAATAATTAAAAAAAGGAAATTTAATGATATTTTTAACGAGTACTTTTTTTAAAACAAAAATGCGTAGGCAAAAAGAAAATATTTTTTGTAGTCGAAATAAACACCAATTTAAATTATTGTTTTGATATTTAAAAATGAAATCAAGCCAGAAAAATGATAAGTGAAATACAGGCGTGTTAAAATAAGTTTTGATATTCTTCTAATTTTTTTAAGTTAAAATGATCGGAAATTCAACATTAAAGACAATCCATTTTTAAATACCAAAATCGTCCTTGCTAAAGCCTTTTAAGTCGCCAATGGCGGGATTTTTGCAACCTCGAAGAAAATCCTAGAAAAGAAAAGATTAAATCGAATTTTAAGAGAAAATCCACTCACTCGTGGCTGTACTTGCGGAAAACATTTTCCATTTGAGGGAAAAACGTCTTGCGCTGAAGAATCATCTTGTTAAGTTTCCACATTAGACTTTCAATTTTATCCAATTTGTACCCAGAACTCTTCTGTGCCACCATAAGAAACTTTAATTTAAAAAAATTTTATATAAGAAATTCACAAAAAATTCTTACCCAATCGTTTGCAGCTCCTTTCATACGTTTTGCAAGCAATAACGCAGAAATGGCAATCAGCGACTCAGAATGACGGCAGAAACTCAACGACATTAAAGTAGTCTCCAAAATATAACGAGCAAGCGTTAATGTCCCCATGTCTTCTTTGGCAATCTTAAATTTGAAAGGTTTTTAAATAATTAATAATCAAAAATTCTTCAATCATAAAAATAATTACCCTCGCAAAACGGCGCAGAAAGCGATAAGAGAGCGGAGCTCCCAAGTCAAATCCAACCACTTTAAGCATACGACGCTCCATTGCCATAAGTTGATCAGGCTTGAATACTTCCTCTGACATGTAGACAAGATCTTCTATGAGAGGCGGAGCACGTTCCTAAAAAAATAAAAATAAATTTTAAACAAAAACTTTCAAACGTCAAATTTTGAAGCAATAAAGATTCCAGTACAAGCAGCCAATTGAATATCATCGCGAGCAACAACTCCAGGCGAACGATCCATAAAGAGATCAAAAAGCTTCACAGCCAAATAAAGAGTCTCATGATTAAGTTCAAAAGTCTCCTGCAGTCCAATTAACCAATCAACCAAAGAACCGCGAACCGCCATGTCAATATTTGGCTGTCGTTTCGAGTAGTCGCTAATGTGGAAGAATTTCTTAAATAATTACAAGATTAAATAATTTTAAAAATTAAATTAAAACCTCTCTAAATTTATAATAGAGGAAAATGTCCGAAGCATATTCTGCCATAGAACCCATGTCTCCAGCACTCTCGGCATCAAAATCAGCAACAGGATCTGGCGACTTAACAGCCAACTCCAAGATCTGTTCGTTCCTCGGTGAAACAACCACTTCGAACTAAAAATTTGTTGAATAAAATGAACTATTACAAGAACGAAAAGTTTAACCTCCTCCACTTTGTTCGAAGCGCTCGCGATATTTTGATCTGAAACCTTCTTTGATGAGTTGATATAAAGTCCTTTCGTGATGTCCTAAAGAAAATAATCTCTAATCAAATATCCACGACCAACCGGAATAACTGGCGACGCAACAGCAGTGCAAGCACGCTTAGGCTTTGGCTCGTCTTTAGACCCATTCTTCTTCGTCTCTTTGTCATCCTTTATGATTCGAGCAGCCTGACGTTTTGTTGCCGCGTTAACTCCTTGTGTTGATTTCTTCCGATTTTGTTCATTGTCTTTTTGTTGAACGTTTAAATCGCGATTGCGAAGGATCATTATTCGAAATGTTAGTTCTTTTTAATTTATGATCTGAAAAAGAAAAGAATTAAAAAGTTGAAACAAAAAATAAAAATTTGATTAGGAAATAGGTGGGAAAAAGAAATGCTTTTGTTAGAAAATGGGTTTAGGATTTAAATTTAATGAGCTTTTATAGTAAAACAAAACAAAAATAATAATGAATATGAAAGATAGATATGTATGACAAAAAAATTAAAAAGGTGAATCAGACTTGTAAATCGAAGTATGTACAAATCAAAAACTAAAAAGTGGAAATAGAAAAAAACGAAAGAATTAACAACCGAACAATTAATTCCGGTCAATAAGAAAAGAAAATTAAAACAAGAAAAAGGACGCAATCGATTTTAAATATTTTAAATTAAAAAGACCGCGATCATGTTTTCGTGTTAAAAAATTTTTAATAAATATAAAACAAAGTTTTCAGACAAGGTACGGTTTGCTAAACAAAACAAATATTAGAACCAGGGCTGAACGCAATTGATAAAAAATTCTGCAACTCGCAATTTCTTTTTAAAAATTCGCAAATGCAATCCGCAACTCGCAATTGCAAAACCCCCGCAATTTACGCAATCCGCAATTGCGTGCAGCCTTGATTAGAACACCAACCATTTTCCCACTAAACTTCTCCAAATCTTTTATATTTTCCTTCAATTTTCAATCGTCGATTTTCAAGTTATTTTTTGTTCGATTTCGTAAATACTTGAAAATATTTTCGATCTTAATATTTTTGAGCTTTTTTGTTTTACAATTTTCGAATATTTTGTTTAGAAACAGCTCTGTCCGGAAAAATTAATTAAAACTGGGGTTTCTTACTCCAAATTTTAACACAAAAATGTCTGACGTTTTTTCTAATTTTAATCAAATTTAAATGAAAGATTAATAAAATTTTGAAAAATGCAGTAATTAAAATATTCAAAATTTTAAATTATGTTCCCTTCTACGAACTGTATATTTTCCAGCAAATTTTCTCGGCAACGATTTTGTTCGAATAGACTAAAATTTGCTTTAAAATAAAAAATTTATTTATTTTTACTTTTGTATTAATTCTTTTATATTCATTAATCCAATTTGTTCCCTGCTTAATTGGTTCTAACGATCGACGATTTATTCGTCCTGGTAATAAGTAAATCTTTAAAGTAGGCTGGGAACGTTGTACAAGCAATTCTTTACTAAATTTATTTTTAAACTTTTATTTGTAACAAAGGAAATAATAAAAAAACTTCTAATTTCTAATTTTTATACCTCGCGGAGCCTCTCATACTAAAAACATTAAAAAATAATCTAAAAATACCTAAAAGTATTATTCTCGTCTCTTTTATTTTTCTCCTCTTCATTATCCATTATTAATTCTGCACGCCTAAGCCTTGCTGAACGAACTCCATAACGACGAAGTGCAGAATCGCAATGTGTTAATAAATCTAGTAGTGCTGGTAAAAGCTGTAATTCGTCTTCAATCTTTCTATTTATTAAATTAATTCTTAATTTTGCAAGATGGAAAAGAATCTGAAGGAAAAAAAATATTCTCTCAAAAATAAAGAAAAATATTTTTTAACATGTAAAAATCCTCGAAAAGGCAACGCAGGTGCACCCGAAGAGACAACAATTGCTGTCTTCTTATCATTTCCAAAGAAAAGGCTACTAATTTCATCAAATTTCTCTTCTAAAGCATCACAAGTTATTAAATTTGTTAATTCACATTTTCTAAAAGATTTTACTTTTATTATTAATAGAAATAATTTCTATGAAAAAGTACCCCCTTAAGGGTTCTGGGCCCGTAAAATAAGAACTCGGTTGCTGGTTAGGTAACCATCGTCAGGTGACCGAGTTCTTATTTTACGGGCCCAGGGATCAATGAGTTTGAAACCATCCCTTAATCATAGTTCTAAAGCCATAGAACAGAGGCCCCTTAATCCAAAAATATAAACAACAATCACACACAGTAATCTTTCCTTTACGTCAAAAATATGAAAATTCGGGGGAGAAAGAAGGAAACAAAAACATAACTAAATTACCTAATAAAGGCACGAATTGCTGGTAATGAAATAAGAAGTGTTTGTTTTATATTACAAAATTGCAAATATAAATAAACTGCTTTATCTAAAACTAACAAATGTTTACTTGTTTGTCCATAATTTATTGGGAATACCTTAAAATAATTATTTTTAAGATTGTTTTTCTTTAAAAACCTCAGATAAATGAGGCTTTTTTGTTCTATTTAAAAGCCCTAAATCATCAATTGTACTTTTAGATGATAAATTTCCAATTGTAGAGGCTATTGATAGTGTTGATCCAATGGAGTTTTTATCAAATTTTTGGTCATTTAGTCCACCAACAAAATCGCTGAAAATGAGTAAAACATAAATGGAATTAAAAAGAAAATTTCTACAATGCTATAATATTTCAATAATTTATCTTTAAGAAATTTTAAATATTAACTTGGGTCTGAAAAATGATATTTAAAAATGAGGGGTGTCTTAAATTGAGGGTATCGCTTTTTTTTATTTAATTAGAGAGGTAAAATATAGGTAATAATTTTTATCTTTTACATATTTTGTTTCCCAGCCAATCTAGTTTGATTTTCTTTATATAATGGATAATGATATTCAAGTTGATCCAGAACCAAAAGTAAAGTGTCTCTAACTAAAGGAACTTTAATCATCTAAAAAAATTAAAAATATTCAAATTTTATATTTTTCCTTCATTACTTCATCAACAACAGATCTAACAGGTTGTTCTGGTATATTAAGTAGTGGAGGGATTTCTGAATTTTCTATCCAAATATTCTCATTTTGTGCCAAAATGTGGTCAACGCTTAATGAAGGTGATGAGTTAACTTCGAGAAGAATAGGGGTGCCATCTTGCCGTACAAGAATATCTAGACCAATTATCTTTAAAAAATTAATTTTTGTTTAAATGTTTAGTTTTAATCCATTAATGATGTAAGAAAATATTTAGAATTTAAATATGTTTACTTGAAAGCATTGAGGTGCCTGATATTTAAATTCACAAAAATGATGTTCATAATTAAGCATTAATTCTGGAACCATTGCTAACACCGTCTTTACTATAATTAATTTAATTTCACGCCATAAACGACGAGTTCTCACTCCTTTGTGTTCCATTTGGTGAAAAACAGTAGAAAGTAGTCTTTTACTTCCTTTTTAAATTAAAAAAGATTTTTTTAATCCTTTCCCGAAAATGAAGAAAAACCTTTAAGTTGTTCTTTTAATGATTTACTGTGAATATAAGCATTATTTGCTTTATTTAAAGAATAATTAGTTAAATGTGCATAAAGATTAGAAAAATTTTCTTTAGTTGGCATTCCCGGATATTTTTCAGTACAAAAACGAGCCATTCCTTTAAAATAAAAAAATATTTTTCTTTAATTTTTTTTCACCTTCCCTGGCTACATAAATTGATAAAGGATTAAGGCTTCGAATAACTGCATAAACACGTAAATCAAATTTCAATCCATCAGAAAGTAGATAGGGATCAGGCATATATTCTTGAATAAGTTGACGATTGGAATTTGTTTGCAATAATTCTGATGGTGAACTAATTAAATAAATGCCAGTTCCTTGAGCACCTTTAAATGTTATTTAAATAATAGCTAGGGTTATCTTCATTCTTTTTTTATGTAAATTGGCCCCAAGACTAACAAGGAGAGGTTGCGAGGTGCCCGATCTAAAAAACGGTCGAGACCGGGCTAATTCGATGAAGAATGTGCTCTTTCTAGCAAGGATTTTGAGCCGTTTTTGCCCGTTTTTTGATTTGGCCAAGATATACCTCGCAACCTCTCCTTGTGAATTTTTTAATTCAAAAAAAATTTCCTACCATCATCTGGTTTAACAATAAAACATTTATTATTTTCTTCCTCAAAAGTTAGGCAATAATCACTAAATTCTTTTAATTGTGCAGGAAGAATCCAACTTTGTGGATAAAAACTATATTCTGAAGGAAAAAGTTCACGCATAGAAACAATTGCCTGGGTAAGCGATACTTTCTTTGCAAGTTCAGTCATTCCTATTTTTTAAAAAATATTTTTGACATTCAAAAAAAATTTGCCTGGAAATTTATTTACTCGAGCACCAGATTTAACAACAGAATTCATATCAGGAAAGACAATACTATGCCAATAAATATCACAAGGAAGCCCATCGTCTCTAGACTCCGTGAACTCCTTCAAACCTAATTGACGGGCACAGAAAGAAACGACAGGGGCATTACTGAAAATATTAAAAAATTTATTTATTTATTTTTATTAAAAGATCACCAGCACCTTTTTGCACGAGATGTGTCAATACTAAATTTATCAAGAGATTTTCCACGTGAAGAGGGTGAAGTTATCCCTTGGGGAGAGGACCCAGAAAACATTAATTTATAATTTAATCAACATAAATATCCTCTCTAAAATAATTATCTAGTCTATAAATTATTTAAAATAGTAAAGAAATTAACTAAAAAATATTTTAAAATCATTGGAGCAAAGAGAAAGTTGCTAGGGAAACGCTAGTAAACAACAAAGAACAATGGGAATAATAAAGAATTTAAGAGATTATTTGTTCAAATTTTTTTGAGAAGTAAAAAAAAACTTTAAATTAGTAGCTTTAAAAATTTTTTAGACTTTCGTCATTTTTCAATTTGGACGAGATCTACTAAAAAAAATTTTTAACAATAAACTTTTCCCTAATTTGAAATTTTCTCAATAAATGTCTAAAATTTTAATTTTATATAAGATTTATATTTTATTTTCTTTACAAAACTTACAATATAATAAGTATTTAAAAACATTTAAGAATTGAAAAAAATATATAAAAATTTCCTTCTTAAATTTCTCCTCTCCACATTTTTCCAAGTGTACCTTCAAAAAATCCGCAAAGACAAACGGGTATTAAAGTGAAAGGTATCAAATAAATCAAGGCAGGTTGGCCAGTTTCCATTAAAAGTAAAGCAACAAAAGTACAGAACATTCCAAAAGAATAACCTTTAAAAATTTAAAAATTATATTCTTCTAAAATTAAAAACCAATTAAAGAGATTAATCCATACAAATGAAATTTACTCTTTTTAATTAAATCAACATAAAAACAATAGGCAATCAAATACCCTAAAATTATTTTTTAAAAATATTTTTTTAAATAAAAAACTTGCCGGGAAGAATTACATCCCCTAAACCGAGCAAAACATTTTTAAATTCTCTTTCGACTTGTATATCAAAACATTCAGCCATAGGATCAGCTAATAAAGGCACGTAAAAAAGCAATGGAAGCTTAAAAAATATAAAAAATAGAAGAGAATTTTCGTTTTCAAAAATTATCAAAAAAATCTCTTTTGAGTAATAACTAGGGTCATTCCACGACAGGGGGGAGGCACGGGGATTTTTCGGGGATGCAGTGCTACAGGGGTGAGGGGGGCGGGGGAATTAAAAAAAAAACTCACAAATTCCCCGACTTTCGGGGAACCCTAATAATAACCCAACATTTTATTAAAAAACATTTAAATCCACCTTTTCAGGTATTTTTGTTTTTATATCAATGGGAGCAACTGGTTGAAATTCACCTTCCGGTAATCTTGTTGGTTGACAATCAGTACCCGTAACTACCTAAAATTTGTAAAATAATTTTATTTTTAATTCTTTGTAACAACCTGTAACATAACAGAACATCCATCTGAAGTAAGTAAACGAGTTCCAAAAACCATAAAAAGATCATAAACAAAAAAGGCAAGTAAAAAGAAAGTAATTAACTAATAAATTAAATTAAAAAATTATTTTTTTGGCACGCGGACATATCGGAATATTTCAATGTACGAACAGTTACCCTACTGATTTCGTGACCTACGGCCACTGGGTTTTGGACAGTATATTGTCCTGTTGAGGAATAGAGTTTTTATGTTTTAGAACAAACGTAAACACGCAAGAAATTATTTTTGTCACCCCTCCCGATATCTCCGTTCACCTTTTCTTCAAAAATTTACCCGTAAACTTCTAATTCTGCTAAATCTAATTGCATAAATACAAATAGTAATATTGATAAAATCTAACAAATAAAATGCATAATATTTGTTTCGAATATAAAACCAGTAGAGACAAATACCCAAAGAAAAAATGAAAGAGAGGGTTGAAAATAATTTAAATGGATTATCCAAAAAAGACTTTTTGGAAGAATTTTGTTGTTGTTGAACTAGAAGAGGAGAAAGAGATTTAAATAAATTAAAAATAAAAAAACAAACGGGAATTCGATGAATTTTGAGCATTTTGTTGATTATTTAATTCTTCTCTTCTTTTATTAAAACAAAAAAATATTTGTCGTAGAGAAAACATTTCGTATTCATAACCATTCAATAAATATTGCAAAATAGCATAAAAACAACTTTTAATTGCTATAGAACCAAGGAAAATTAAAAAGAAATTGAAACCATTTACTTTAGAAAAATAATTTTTAAATTTTATTTTTTAATTTAAAAAAACCAGCATAATCTCTAAAGAAAAAGGCAAACATTAATATAAAAACAACAAAAGATAAAGCAATAAAAACTGAAATACAATGCTGCCAAACACTCATATTTGCAAGTTCAGAGCTTTGTGAAGAACGTTTTCTTTGAAAATAAAAAGTAAATTTAATTATTAGTATTTTTAAGTGGGGGGTGACGCTTTTGTCAGTTTCGAATCGAAAGTAAAACTTTTATTTTCAGAGAAAATAATTAAACAAAAACCGAAAAGAAAATCTTCGGGTTTTAAATTTCGATTCAAAACTGACAATTCTAATTAGGAAATTAATTTTTTAGAATTAATAAAAAAAAGTCAGAGGGAGAATAAGAAAACCTTATCAATTTTGGAAAAAAATAATAAGTTTTTGTTAACGAGTTTTAAAGAATAGGTGAATTTTAAAAAAATTCCTCAAAATAAAATATCTGATTCAAAACAAAAACTAAAGGTTCCGTTATCCAATCCCAATTTTAAAATAAACAGAATAGTTAATGATTTTAAAGAAAACCTTTCATTTTGTGCTGTGGAATTTTGTGTTGTGGAAAACCTTTCATTTTGTGTTGTAGAATTAACGCTAATTTCCGTAATTTGTGTAAAAGAAGCTTCTGTAGATAATGGTAAAGAAGCTAAAAAAATTTTTTAATCCAAAATAAAAATATTTAAAAAAACCATTCTGATTTAACTGTAAATCTTCTAGTGCTGTGTTAACATATTTGGCTAATTTATTTTTAATGTCCAAAACAGACCAAATAGAACCTTAAAAATTTGGGCAATAAACTGAAGTAAAAATTAAAAGAAATTATTTTGAAGGCAAAAATAAACATAAAAAATTATAAATTAAGATTGGCGGACAGTTGGAAATCTTCGGATATCCGGAGGCGAACCGAAAATTTCCGAATATCCGGCATTTTTCGGATCCGGATCCGGCAACCTTATTATGAATTAAATAATTATTTTAAAATTAGAAAATAATTTTGACTAAGAAAATGTTAAAGAAATCTTTAAAAATACCTATAAGAATTGAAATAAATGCAAAACCCCAAAGAACAACGACGGCTGGGTCCATTGGAAATAAAGATTTGGGTTGATAAATTTTCAGTTTGCCAGTTTTAGAAAGTAACTAAAAAATAAATAAATTAATTTTCTAAAAATAAAACCGGTTTAATTTCCTTCCAAAAATTGTTTTCATAAACATAAAAAACATTTAAAGATTTGTCTTTAATGCTATTAAGTTCAGCGTTGTAGAAATGAGTGAACTAAAAAATGAAAAAAATAAATTTTAATTAAATTGGGCTAGAAAATTTTTGTAAGGATAAAGAGAAAATTAACTTAAAAATAATTTTAAAAAAATTAGAAAGAGATCCAGGGCAAATTTTGACAAAGGGAAGGTGGCCCTATCTGAAATTGATCCGACATCCACTTTTTCCTAAAAGACATCAAAATCACTGTGATTGAATAAGTTTGGACCTTACCACCATTATACTTTACTACAGCCGAGAAATTAACTCATTCTCCCCTATTTGAGAAGTAAAGGAAAAATTGGATGGCGGCATTAATTTCAGACAGGGCCGGGAAGGTTATTTAAATTAAAATCCTTAAACAAAAATTTAAAAAATAACCAAATAATTGTGTAAATCATAAGCATTTTTCTTTCCCTTTTCAACCAAAAAAAGAATATTTTTAATAGAAGCAGCCATCATTATTTTAACCTAAAAAATATTTTATTTAAATTTTTAAATAAAAAGAAAACCTCGTTTCTAACAGAATTTGGATCAGAATAATTAAATCCTGGCTGTTCACTACATAATTTACGTAATTTGTTAAATTCAGTTATATAATCGGCCGGAACGATGGAATTTGAGGGAAATTTAAATTCATTATATCCTTCACAAATGTTGGTATTATTTATTTTGTTCCACCAAAAGAGGTTAAAAATTGGCTAAAAAATTTATTTAAACATTTTTTAAAATATTTTTAAATTCAGAAAACAGGGGAAAATAAATATTTAAAAATGAAAAAATCGAATTATTTTTAATTTATTATTAAATAAATTATTATTTTTTAATATTGTTTTTCAGCTTTATGAATTTCAGAGGAAAAAAATAAAAAAAATAAATATTTTATCAATATTTATTTTTCTAATTTCAAGAAAAATATTTAAATTTTACCGCCTCTTCAAAGGACGATGGCAATTCTTTTTGCTTCCATTGTTGATAATTTATGCAAAATCTTCTTCCTTCCAAATTATTTTCATTAAGTAAAGAAAGAAAAGAATAACTAGATTCGTATTTATATTTTCGAGAATTGACAAAAGAAAACTTTAAAATAAAATTTAATTTAAATATAAAATTAATTCAAAATCAAACCTTTAAACACAAAAGTAAAATATAAAATAAAGTAAAGAAATTTGTGTTGAACATTAAATGGGTTAATTAAATATGTATAAGTAGGTAGTATATATTTTAAATAAATCTAAAATTTAATTTAAAAAAATTTTTAAAAAATTTACTAAAATTTTTTAAATTTTTTAATTACAACAGAAATTAAAAAAATTTTCTTTCAATTAAAATTAAGAAAAAAATTTTCCATGAGTCATAGTAAAATCGTTTGAGTCTGCTTTTCGCATTATATAATGTTTAAGAGTCTATGTATGTATCTTTCCAAAAAAGATATTTTTGTTGAGTAAAAGCAATTTTCTTGTGAGTAATTTAATAAAAAAATTAGCTTGTAATATAAATTTAATTTGGTAGTTTTTCCGGTATGTAAGCGTTCTCACTCTGTAAACGGATAGATTTTAAATCATGAAATAAAAAAGTACATTATTCTTTTAGGAAATGATGGATTAATCCCTCTGGTATAAGCAAACTAGAATTTTAAATAAAAAAACATTAATAGCCAAATATTTATAAAACAAATATTATTGACATAAATAATTTGAAATGAGAGAAGTTTATAAACAAAAATTTTAAATTTATTTTTGAACTAAAATTGAATTAGTAAGTAAATTTTGATACGGAAATAAAAATAAAATGTTTAAGATATTCATTAAATAAATTTACGCACATATAAGTCAAATTCTGAAAGAGGAGGGGGGAGTTAAAATTTGTTATCATTTAACAATTGAGAATTTTGAAAAGAAAATTTCGATTCAAGTATAAAATTTATTAATCAAAAAACAATCATTAAAATACATAAAGGAGTTTTTAAACTATTTATAAAAAGAAGACAAAAATAAATAAAATAATTTAATGGGACACGCGGCGCAAAGCCATACTTACTGGGAAATTTCTAGATCTTAACAATTCTGGTACTAATCTCTTTAGCTGATGAGAGGAATCGTCTAATACAAATTTGTAAAGACTCGGAAATCTTGAAGCAAATTATGGCTTTGTGCCTACTTGGCTGCCCGCCTATTTGGGCTGTCCCCCAATTTAATTATAATTAATTATAATAAAATGTTTTTTAAATTCAAATAAAAACAGATGAGAATATTAAAAAAAGCTTCTTTTTTTGTTCCTTTTATTTTATAAAAATACCGCTATCAAAATTTAGTATAGGTTTTTCCTGTTTTTCCTGTTATCCATTTATTTATAATCTGGAACATAAAAATAAATTTATGGCTTAATTATTTCCTCTTCCTCTAATAATTTATTAAAACAAATTAATCTTTTTAAATGATCTTTCCATAAAATATTAGCTTTAAAAGGCTTATTTATTTATTGCGCTACTCTAAATTTGTCCATCAATCAAAGGAAAAGGTTAGTCATGAAATATAGGAAGTTAAAAAATATTACAATTTCTGCTCTAATTATGCTTGTCAAATAATTCTGGAAATAATGCGAAAATAAATAAAATTACATATTTGGAATAATAATGGAAATATTTAATTAAATAAATAATTAATCGAAAATTTTTAAAAATATTATTTATTAAGATTTTTTTAATAAAAAACTTATGTAAATAAAAGTCGAAAATAAATATATTTAACATTTTCGCAACAAAATTCAAATGATTTTTTTAGCATCTCTAGTAAAATAAAATCTAATACAGTTAATTTAGTCAATTAAACAGTTAGTCAAGTTAATTTTAATCCCAGCCAATTTAACAGTCAACTGTCAATCTAAAACAGTCGTTTTGTGTAAACCTCTCTTTTGTGATTTTTAAATAAAAATAATTGTAAACATAAGAATCAAAATTTTCAAAATTCAATTTTCTCCAAAATTAAATATTTTCTTAGCCTCTTACAATCAAGTTTAGTGTATGTAGTTTTTTATTTAATAAAAATAAAATTAAGTAATAATTATTTAATTTTTGTTTTGTATTTATTTTTAAATATTGTGTCCTCTCTTTTTTACATATTAACTTTTTTATTGAATACATTACCAATCACATACATCAAAAACATTTTTTTTCACACTCATTGTTGCGCATCATTTATTCAATCGTTATTTTTGTAAAAATGTCTTCTTTTCTTAAAAAATTAAAGAAAAATAATTAAAAATATTTTCTGATAGTAACTTGTTTTTTTAATGACAAAAAATATTTTTTAAATTTTTTAAAATAATTTTTAATCAATTCCTTTAACCTTTTTTAGTTTTTTCGTTCCAATTCTTCTAATTTTAAATTTAGGTACTAATGTTAATTCAAAATTTCTTTTTAAATATTATTTTTATAATTTTAATCTGTAAATATTTCTGTCAATGTAATAATCAAAATTTAACATTTCCCCAACAAAATTCAACAAAAAATATTTTTGAAATTAAAAACGAAAATAATACCTTAATAGAGACAACAACTGAAAATTTAAAGGAAGAAGAAGAAGAACCTGCTTGGGCTTGTGGTACAGATGCTTTTATTCAAGTAATAAATTAATTAATATTTAAATTTTTAATAAAGTTTCTTTTTTAGATGATTGCCGAATCGACAATTGAAAAAGATTGTCCAGACAAAAAACGTAAATAAATTTTAACGAATAAAATTATTTTTTTGTCATGAGGGAAACAGAAATAAATTTTGTGTATTTTTTGACAAAAATTTTGTAGAATTTATGATCAAATCTATTTTTATTTTTTTAAAGTCTAAAATAAACAAAATTCAATTCAAAATAATTTTACATTAAATATTATTAAAACATAAATAAATTTTATGTATATTTTTTGACAAAAATTGTAAAATTTAAGAACAAATTTATTTTTATTTTTTTTAAATCAAAAATCAAAAAACTCAATTCAAAATAATTTTACATTAAATATTAATACCAAAAAAAACAAAAAATTTTCTTAAACTAATTAAAATTTTATTTATTTAAAGGTCCAATTAATAATTGTTGTGTTAGTCATGATAGGTTAGAACAGGGCTCTCATCGACAAAATGCCACTCAAAAGTATCAAAATCTTGATAAAAAAGTATATAGGGAGAAAATTTCCAAATTTAAAGTATACTCAAAATTAAATTGGAAAATATTTGTTCGTGCTCAAATCTTTTATATTTCTCTCTTAAATGAATCTTTTCTAATAATTTCTTGCTTCCATTGGGCATTTTGTGCATTTCAACGCATGACATGTCAAAATTCGCTGATACAAGAAATAAAGCCCTGACAGTCTTAACCTCAAGCTTTCGTCCATTTTCAGCGCCGCAGGCGAAAATTTTTTGAAATTTGGAGCCCAAGTAGTCAGATTTCTCCCATTTTCAGCGCCGCAGGCGAAAATTTTTTGAAATTTGGAGCCCAAGAAGCCAGATTTCTTTCTTTTTCAGCGCCGCAGGCGAAAATTTTGATAATTTCGAAGGCCCAAGGCTAAAAAAATTCACTTTTTTGCCCAATCCCTTCCCCAATTTCATTTTCAATCCAAAATGTTGATTTTAAAGTATATACTTTCAATAAAGTATAAATTCAATTTCTTAAGTATGGAGGTCGGTTTCAAAGTATAATACTTTCAAATAAAGCACGAATGAGAGCCCTGGGTTAGAATATTTTAAAAAATATTTTTAAAATATATTTTTATTTAGTTGTTATGATGACCAAAAAGGGCGTAAATATTGTGATGATATTTTTTGTGAATGTTTGGAAGTAAATAAATTTTTATTTAAAAAATATATTTATTTAATTTAGATAGCTTCTGCTGGAAGTGAAGAATGCTCTAAAGTTGATACAAAAATGTTTTGTGATTTAGTAAGAGAATTTGGACAGTCTTTTTACAATGCTTCTGTGAATACCACAAATACACCTTCGACAATAAATAATAGGTGAACAATAAATTTTTAAATAAAAAGAGTAAATAAAATATTTTTTTGAATGAAAAGTGTTTTTTTAAATTTATTAAAAAAATATTTTTTAAATTTTTACGTCTTTATTTGCTTATTTTTACCTTAAATATTTTTTTGAAATTTTTTAATATTTAAAAATTTATTTTTTTAAATTTAACAGAATAGAAATAACTACACCAACAAATACAAAACCAAATAATGTTTATAACAAAATAGACAACAAAACAATTCCAATTAAAAGGATATACTAAAATATATTTATTTATTAATTTAAAAGAAAATAACCGGTAGATATTAATTGACTAATTATTTAATTTTGTAAAAAATATTTGTATTTAAATAAAAATAATTTAATAATTTTTTTCTTCGTTGTTAAGAAAATGACAATAAATTTTCAATGGTGTGTAAAAGAATACTAAAAATTATGAATATGTACAACTAAAACACAATTTCGCCCAGTCTTGTTAATTTATCGAGGAAAATATTTGAATAAATCAAAAAAATATTTATTTGCAAAATTAAAGCAAATAAAAAATAAAAAATTATTTATGCAAAAATATTTAAAACTAATTTAGCTTTAAATTTAATTTTTGATTTCTCTAAAATTCTCTGACGGCAATGAGCAGATTAACAAATAGACAATTTCTTCAAAAATTCTAAAATTATATACAAAAAAATATTTAAAAAATTATTTTTCTAAAAAAGGTATAATTTCGATATTTTGAGAATCAGTCGATTTTATGGCAAATTTCGCTAAAAATAATTATTTTTAGGTTTTAAATGTATGTATCTAGTATGTAAAATAATAAAACATTAACATAAGTGGTCGGAGTTATTATTCTGCTAAAAATTCAAAATAAGAGAAAAATTATAATAAAAAATAAAAAAAAAGTTTCATAAAAAATAATTTAAGCTATAAAATTTAATTTTTGCTTTTTCTCTCTAAAATTCTTTGTCGGGAATTAACAGATTTACAAACAAACAAAAAATTTTTCTTAAAAATACCAAAGCCCACCAAAATAAAATATCTTGCCAAAATAAATTTCACCATAAATAAGAGGTAATATTATTGAATTAAAAATATTAAATAATAAAAATAAATAGTTGAATCCCATCACAAGTTAATTAATTAAAAAAATATTTTTAAAAAATATTATCCCAAAATTTAAATTAAATAATTAAATTCAAAATGAAAATTCCCAATTTCTTTTTAAATATTATTTTAATTCAATTATTTATTTATTTTTGTCAAAGTAATGAACAAAATTCAGGAACAACAGCACAACCTGAATGGGAATGTGGTACAGATAATTTTACAAAAGTATTTAAATTTATTTAAATAAATCCTTTGAAATACAAATTTTATAATTAAATTTAATTATTTTAGGAATTAGCTAAGAAAACAATTCAACTGACTTGTCCAAACGATAAAAGTAAATTTTTAAAATTAAATTATTTAATTTAGAATTTTTATATTTTATAATTTTTGATTTTGAAAATATTATATAATCAAATTAATTAATTATATGTACATAAATCTTTATTAAAATAAATACAATTTAGCTCAAATAAACGCTTGCTGTATTAACCATGACAGGTTGCCTTTTTATTAATTTAAAAATTTTTTATAAATAGTAATTTGAAGAAATTGTAAATAATTCTTCATTAAAAATAATTCTTCATTAAATAATTCTTCAATTTTAGAGCCGAAAAATGGCAAAATAAATTTTGTAAATATTCGCTAATTTCATATAAAATTCGAAATAGTATGTTAACTAAGAATTATTATTATTCATGGGGATATAAACAGAAATTAAAGTAAAATATTTAAATAAAAATCGAGAAAAATATCCAAATAAATATTTTATATACATATTTATATTTAAATTGGAAAATATTTTATCAGTTGCTATGACCAGCAGAATGGGCGTAAAAATTGTGATGATAATTTCTGTGGATGTTTAAAGGTTTGGAGTATTTAAAAATATTAAATTATTAAGGTTTTTTCAAAATTTTAAAAATGATCAAATTTTAGCTTTTTCACTGAAATTTTTCATATTTTGAATAGAAAATAATTAAAATTTGGTGTCATCTTTAATCTATACGCGTTTATTCAGAGGATTTAGAGATATTAATGTGGATTTAACTAATTAAGGGAAATATTGGTTGATTTAGCAGGATCTTGAGGGATTAATAGGGATTCACAGGGATTAGATAGTCACCGATATACACCTAACTCCTCAATATCCCTCTCTATAATTATTTAATCTGGGGATTGATGGGGTTAATTTGGATTTGGAGGATTAAGGTGGATATCGGGGATTTACTTTGTTTGCGGAACAAAGTTGCGCAATTTGAGTTAACGCAATTTGCACATTTTGAGTTAAGCGGCTTGTCGGTGGGTTGGCGCATAGATTCACATACATGGCGGCAGAATCCCCTAATATACTGTTGTATTATGGGGAGTTTAGGGGTCCATTGTCCAAAATTCCCTACACCGGAATATCTATAAGAAAAATATTAATAAAAGTATTAAAAGCTAAATTTTTAAAAACCAGGTATTTTATAAAAATCTAGTGTCCAAAAAATCATTGTATTTTCGGAAAAAAATAATTCCCCAATTCTTCACCATTACCGAATAAGAGGCGTATCGGTTATCTGGAATGATTAAGGGATAGGTTTAGCGCCGCAGGCGAAAATTTTTCAATTTTTGGATGTTTAAGGAGCCAGAATTGACCTAAAAGTCAGAATATTTTACAAAATTTACTCAAAATTTGACCCGGGCCGGGCCCGGGTTTTTCAGATGCTACCCGGGCCGGGCTTCCGGGCTAAAAACCTCGAAAACCCGGAAACCCGGAAAAACCGGATTTTATCAAAATACCCGGTTTCCGGGCTAACGGGCCCGGAAAACCCGGTCCCGGGCCCGGCCCGGGGTCGAGCTCTAATATATATTAAAATATTTCAAAATATTTTTTTCAAATTAATTCTTAATTTTTTTATTACTCCCAATGAAGATTTACCGAGAAAATATTTTATACAAATAAAAAATTTTTTTTAAAAAGGTATTATCTCGCCATTTTGTGATTCATTTGATTTTATATCGAATTTTACTAGAAAAGATTATTCTTAGGTTTTCTATGTATCATCGGCAGTGATGTCAAAGTTCCAAAATTTCTCTGGAACTAGTTCCAGTTCCAGAACTAGGTTTTTAATTTTTGTAGTTCCAGTTCCAGTTCCGGAACCAGGTTTTTAATTTTCGTAGTTCCAGTTCCAGTTCCGGAACTCCATTTTTGAAATTCCTTAGTTCCAGTTCCAGTTCTGGAACTAGTTCCAAGCTAGTTCTAGTTCCAAATTTTTAAATTTTTTTTGAATATGAAAATATGGCTGTAGTATACAGAGTGACAAGAAAGTAACTGCAAAAAGTTAAAAAAAGTAACCTGATATACATACAACTTACAACTCTTGAGCCTTGATATCACTCTTTATCTTTTTTCAAATCCCTCCTTATCCACCCAAATCTCTGTTCCCTCTTATTATCCTCCTTATCCATGATGTGGACCATGCAGTCTGGTAAGATACCGAGATTAGGAAATATGTAAAAAGATAATGCTATCGTGGGATTACGTAGGGTTTGGAGGTATCTCTCAAAATCTTTAGATCTCCCCATAATTATTCCATTTTCAGCGACGCAGGCAAAA